TTAAATCATTCAATTTTATACTCATACGGTTTATTCATTTCTATTAATTAATTTTTCATTTCACTTTTGTTAGTTAATTTCTTTTATTTCATTTGTGACAGTTAATTTTCTATAATTTATTTCGATCATTTAATTGTTTATTTAATTTCTGCCAGTTAATTTTCTATTTAATTTTCTATTTAATTTCCGTCAGTTATTTTTATATTTCTTTTTCATTAAATTTATGCCAATTAATTTGTTAATTAAAATTAGTGCTAAAATAATTAAATTTCGAATAATAAAGTACAATTTTTTTCGTACAAATTTATAAATTCTCTCAGGAGAAGAAAAGAATTTCATTTTATTTCTGAATATAATGATTTTTAGCATTAATTAATTAAATGTTACATGATGCACAAAATAATTACTTTTTAAAATAGAGTAAGATTTTTTTACAAATGTTTGAATTTTTTGCAAAAGGAAAATATTGTCTCCACTATTTCTAATTAATACTGAGATAATTAAATTTATAAATAGAATATTTTTTTTGCAAATTTTTGAATTTTCACAAGAGGAAATATTTTACTTAATACAAAAAATTGTATTCTCATTTCTGAAATCATGAATATTTTTCAGTATTGGAATTTTTCTAATTAATTAAATTTTTTATTAATAAAATATTAATAAATGATTTATAAGTTTTGAACTTTTTGCTAAATACACACAAATATTTTCAAAAATTCCAAACTACAATAAAAAGCGAAAATCAAGTTGAATAATTAGAAACTTTTTAATTTATTTTTTCGTGGCGCAATATTGTTGTAATAAATGTAAATTTGAAGAAGAAAAAAATTAATTTCGTTTTAATTGAACCAACTGAATAAAAATTTTTTTCTCTAAATACTCGATCAAGAAATTTTATAAAAATGTTTTTATCCAAAAGTTCATAAAAATTTGCTTCTCGAAAAAAAATTTTTTCTTCTAAATCGACGAGTGAAATTCAACAAACTCTAAACATATCGCACCGTTGAATAAAAATTCAGTCAGAAACAAATTCGCCAACTAACTTTGTTACCAAACTTTTTCTAGAGCAGAAAATAAATCGAGAAATACCAAAACAAGAATAAAACAAAAGATGAACAAAATATTTTGATTTCATGAGGGGAAAAATACCAAAACAAAAAACAATACCAGAAAAAAATAAGCATATAAACTCCTTTTCCAATATATAAACAAGTAGCCTTGAAATATTTTCAGACCGCGAGTTAAAAAACTTTTACATTAACCTCTTGACACCTAAATCGCGTAAAAAGAGCGAGAAGTGAGAGAGAAAGAATGATGCCTCCTTCAAAAAGTATAAAAACTTTGACCCAGGAGAGATTTATTTTTAACGAAAGGTCAAATCCTTACAGTTTTAAAGGGTGCTTCGGGAAAATATCTTTTCAAACTTTGAGTAAGCTTCCTTTTTTTTTTGTCAATCTTTGTGACTGAGATTGCGGTACGTAATCCAAAATCTACTTGTAACACGCAACGGACGTAAGCAATAAAATCTATTGCTTCAACAAATTGAGCTAGTGTCCCTCGAGGAGGAAGAAGAAGAAGAGAGTTGATTTCTGTGAACCAAACTCTTTCTCTCTCTCTCTCTCACTCTTACTCTGTTCTTTTATAATAGCCAATTGTCGAGCAAGAGAATTGCCTATAAGAGCACATCCCAAGTAAATAATAAACCTGCGCGCTCGACTATCAAGTAGATATAAACGATGACAAACATTCATCTTCATTTTCTTCCACTTGTATGTTTAATGATGGCAAAAAATGATGATAATAATCAACATCAATGTGATCGAGGCGCAAATGGGATCATTGCTCAGTTTTTTTTACACACACACACACACACAAGAAGTAGAGGGAAAAAATAAAGGTCCTTGCCACCTAATCATACCTTTATGAAAGCTTCACAGAAAATTCATTTCACGTTATTAAGACTCTTTTTACTTATTTTATTTTTTTTATCCTTTTCATTATATTCTCGACAAACTTCCCTTTACTCATATCCTCATGATATTCACTTCCGTGCAGAAGAAACTTTGTAATCGAGAAAATTTCCTACACTTAAAAATAATATAACTGCACCAAGAAATTCAGGATACTTCCGGGAAATCCCAGATTTAATTTTATTTTTTAACTTTCCTAGAGAATCTATTAAGAAATTAAAAGAAGAAATTTTTATGCCATTTTGAATTTTTCCTTCTTCATTCGAAATTGATTTTTTTAATTAAATTGTTTAATATTAATTTTTACTTCTGTTAATATAGTAAAGTTTATTTACTCTCGCAGCGAAAGCAAACTTCTGATTGTTTAAATTTTATAAATTTAAAATTTAATTTAATTCAATTTTTATAAATTAAGTAAATTATTTACTAAACAAATAATTGAGTAAATAACTTTTTAAACAATTATGTAATTTAAATTGAGTAAAAGAGTTTAAAAAAATTCAGTAGAATGTCTAAATAAGTTTAGTACATTATTTACTAAATAAATAATTAAGTAAATACAATTTAATAAAAAGATTAAATAAAATTAGTAAATATTTAGTAAAAAAATTATTTGGTTAATAATTTAGAATTAAAATTTTATAAAAACTTAAAATAAATTTAATAAATTATTTATCAAATAAATGAGTTAAAAATGTAGTTAATTATTCAGTAAATTATTTAGTAAATATATAATTTAGTAAATTATTTAGTAATAAAAATTTTACAAGAACTTTAATTCAATTTAGCAAATTATTTACTATAAACAAACAATTGAATAATTAATGTTTTAAATAATTGAGTTATTTAAATTTAGCAACATCTTTAAATAAATTTAGTAGATTACTTACTAAATAAATAATTGAGTAAATTATTTTGTAATTAAAATTTTATAAAAATTAAATTTGTCACATTACTCACTGAACAAAAATTTGATTTAATTATTTTTTTTAAAAAGTTTCAATAAATTTAGTAAACTATTAATTAAATAAATAATTTTGTAAATACAATTTAATGAAAAGTTTACATAAATTTAGCAAATTATTAGTTAAATAAATGATTCAGTAAATACGATTTAAAAATAAGTTTAAATAAAGTTAGTTAATTATTTAGTAAAAAAAAATTATTCAATAAATAATTTGATAATTTAAATTTTATAAAAATTTTAAATATATTTAACAAATTGTTTACCAAACAAATAATTGAGTAAATAATGTAGTAAATTATTTAATAAATATATGAGTTAGTAATTTAGTAAGTAAAATTTTTATAAAAGTTTAAAATAAATTGAACAAATTGTTTACTAAACAAATAATTAAGTTAATAATTTAGTGAATAAAATTTTATAAAAGCTTGAAATTTGCAAATTAGTTACTAAATAACTAATTCAGAAATTAATTCAGTAAATTAATTGAGTTATTTAAATTTAATAAATTATTTACTCAATTATTAATTTAGTAAGAGTAATTTAGTAGTTATTAATTTAATAAGAGTCAATAAATAGTAATTTATACGACTATGTAATTTAATACATAAAAATAAATGAGAGCAAAATTATTATCGAGTATAATTTCCTTTTTAATTCAACGGGTCAGCAATATCGAATACGCCATGTTAATATTCTTCGCATAATTTCTTTTTAATCTTCGTAATATTATAAAGTTCTAAAAGGAATTTTACTCCTCTGAACAAGTTTTAAAAGTTTAGCAAATTTTTCCCCGTGGTCCCCTTTTATTTCTACAGTTAAAAAACTATATTTATACGAAAAGCATAAAAATTTAACGAACTAAAAAGACCATTTAAAAGGATTATCGTTCTTTAAAATGCATAATAATTCAACTTTTGAATGACCTATATATTAAATATTTTTTTCTCTTGCTTTTCTCTTGAAAATTTTTTTCATCTCTAAAAACAACTTATAAATAAATAAATATGGAAATTAAAAAAAAGGCAAATTAATTAACGCAATAATTGAAAATTATATTCTCTTTAATTTAATCAACTGAAAAATTGTGTTTAAAAAGAATTTAATAATGAAAATAATTTTAAATAAAAACTAATTATAATAATTTGTGATAAAAATTAATTTTTTAGAAATAAAATATAATTTTTTAATTTGAAATGAAAAATTAAATAAAATATGTTTTTTTTTAAATCACTCGATAGATATTTAAAATTAAAACAAAACTCAATTAACGGCAATATAATTGTAAAAATAATTTTTCTCTCTTTCTCGCCCAATTGTCATATAAAACAATAAGTGATTTTATATTCTAATATATGGTCGGGAATTTTATCGATCTATTCTAATTTCGTCTTGTTTTATGATATACGCCCCGCGCGAACAGAAGAGGAAAAATATTTCTCGAAATAATTATTCATTTTAGCGATATGCATTTATTTTTTCTAAAATTTAATGGGAAAAAAAATATTTTTGCTTCTTTTCTGCTGTTGAAAAGACAAAAAACCAAAAAAATATATTTAATTCATTTATTTATAAATTAATTTAGAAATTTAGAAATCCAGAAAAATGGTTAAATATTATTCGAATTTTTTTTAAGATAAACGTTTTTTTCACACGTGTTTTTCAATTATTGGAGAGGAAAAGAAAAGAGAGGACACGCTTCACACGCTTTTCATAGAGAATAAATAAAAAATAAAGGCCGAAAAAAATGTCTAATATTTAAAATGTACCCTTGATTTTCAGCTTTACCATTCCAAAGAGTTGGAACCAAGAGAAAAAATTTATATTTATAATTGGCCAAAGATGTTAAAAATTTGTTGAGAAAAATATTAGATATATATTTATCTTTTAGTTCTAAAAGTGCAAAATATCGAATAATAAAACTATCAAAAATAAGAAAACAAAACAATCAACGAAAAGAAGAAAAAGAACGAATCAAGAAAAAAATTAACCAAGAAAAAAGAAACCGAGAAATAATTAATCGAAAAAATTATACACCGAGAAAAAATAAATCAATAAAAAAAACCAACAAAAATAAACAAATCAATTAAAAAAGAAACCAAGAGAAAGAAGAACAAACCAAGAAAAAATAGAAACAGATTAAGAAATAAAAAATAAAAATAAAAATACATTTTCCAAATGAAATTCCGAAAAGAATCGTCTTCCAATAGTCCAAAGATGGATCTGCTCTCTCGTCGTTCATCGACTGGCAGATTATCAACATTCAAAAGAACAAAATCATTTCGTGCTTCCATTCGAATAATGTCAAAAATTCGCAACCACACAAGCGCCGATTGTTCAAATCAAACTACAAACCAAAATCAATCAACAATTTCTCCACAATCAAAAGAAACGATAATTAAAACAAGTCAATGGACATTGCCATTTCTACAAAAGAAACAACAATCAGATTCTCTTTCATCAAACAAAATTGAGGTAAATAAAAAAAATCAATCTAAAAAAAATGATGATAATTCCGAAACACGAAATATTGAACTATTAAAAAATATCGAATCAGCAAAAATAGCCAAAGATTTAAAACAAAAATTATCCCTCACCAATCGAATAATGGGAAGAAATCGAAAAGGTTTGCAAAATAATGTTAATAATAATAATAATAACAATAACAATAAACGTACCGATAAACGAGAAAAAAGTAAATCCACTCCTTCTAGTGAACAATTTGAAAAGTCTCATTATTCTCAAAATACGGAGAAAATAACCGGAAAGAAAGAGTATCCGGTTTATCCAACTGGAGAATACAATTCCTATGAGAATCCAACTTTCTGTTTAGACAGTTCGATTGATTCTTCCGTGAACGAATTTTTTTTCCCAGTTAAAAATGATGATTTTGACACAACTGTAAAAAATACACCAACAATTATTATTAATGAAAATTTAAAATCATCAATGGAAACACTCACTATTCTAGTCGATTCTAAACGTGATAATGATAAATGTTCTGTGATTAATAATTTTGATCGGAATGAAAAAAAATTGTCGAATGACAAAACAAAATATGTTAATAATGAAGAAAATGGAAATCATGTTATTTTAAGAAGTACAATGAATAAAATTAATGAAACTGCCAATAACAGTCAATGTGAAGTGACTTCGGAAAAAGTAACTTCCGCCAAGTTCTTAAGACCAAGAACAGTCGATAATATTACCAACTTTTTGAACGGTGGTCGAAGCAGTTTCCGAGTTAAAAAGATCAATCATAAAAAAGAAGTACACGAGTCCAAGGATCCCGAGTCCATCATCCATGACCGCGTTTCGATGACAACCACTTTTGGATCAAGTAGGTCCTTGTCTCTATCGCAATATCGAGAAGAAACTTTTTTTTTTTGATATTTTTTTTTTACACCTCACTTGAGAATTTTAATTAAATTCATTTCTCTCTCAGTTTTGAAATATTTCAGTAAACATTATTAAAAATAACACTCGCAGGGCTCGAACTAGTAAAAGTACTTAACAATACAGACTTTACGGACCAAAAAAAATTCTTCTTTAAATCAATTATTTTTAATAATTTTCGAAAAAGTTCTTTGACAATTTTCAAATCCTTTAGTTTACAATATTCAATATTTTACGAAATTTAAATTAATCGTAAATTCTTCAATTAAACTTTTTCAATTATTTCGAAAAATTCATGCTATATTTCTTTAAATATTCAATTATTATCTCAAATTTCAATTGAAATTCATTTTTAAATCAATTTTTATTAGAAAATTCTACTAGAATTCAATTATTTAAATAGAAAATGAAATTATTTTTTTGAATTAATTTAATGTTTCTGAAAATTGAATTCTCATAAAGAATTTTACCAAGGAATTTTCAAATAATTGAATTCTTTTGACGAATCTTAATAAAATTTTTAAGAATATTTACATTTTTCGAGAAATTTGATTAAAATTGTATTAAAAATAATTGAAATTCTGCAATGAGTTTTATTATTTATGAAAATAATTGAATTTATAAAAAGAATTTTATTATTTACGAAAATAATTGAATCCCTGCAAAAATTGTATTATTTATGAAAATAATTGAATTATTGTAAAGAAATTTATAAAAAATTTGCAAATAATTGAATTTCTGTGAAGTTTTTATTATTAAATGTTATTAAATGTTTCCGTACAATTTTATTAAAATTTGTTTAAATAATTGAATTCTTTTGACGAATTTGAATAAAATTTTTAAGAATAATTACATTTTTCGAGAAATTTGATTAAAATTGTATTAAAAATAATTGAAATTCAGCAGCAAGTGTTTTATTATTTGTAAAAATAATTGAATTCCTAAAAAGAATAAATTTAATTATTTACGAAAATAATTAAATCTCTGCAAAATTTTTGTTATTTATGAAAATAATTGAATTATTGCGAAGAAATTTATAAAAAATTTGCAAATAATTGAATTTCTGTGAAATTTGTATTATTTTGTGAAAATAATTAAATGTTTGCTTAGAATTTGATTAAAGTTTTTTTAAATACCTAATTGAATTCTTTTGGAAAATTATATTAAAATAGTAGATATTAAAAATAATTGAATTGAGGAAAATTTTTGAAAATAATGGAAATTTTGCAGAGAATTTTATTAAATTTTTTGAAAATAATTGAATTTCGGACCTTTACGGGATTTACGGACCTACTTTGAGCCCTGCACTCGTTAATGCATGAATGATTAAAACATGTATAGAATTTTTATAAATTAATACAATAAATAATTTAAATATTTACTGATTGATAATTAATATCGTATATTTATTATTTACCAAAGTTAAAAATAATAAATATAAAATATTATTTAGAAATTAGTGTAATTAGTCACAATTAATTAAAATTGTCAGAATTGGCAATTAACCTTCTAATAATTACAAAGAAATTTAAAATCACAATAAACAATTTTATCAATTGACAATTGTTTCTTTCTTTAAATTTTTAAATTAAACTAAATTTTAAATTTCTTTAGACAAATTTTTTAAAAGTCGTATCAAACTTTTGCATCCCTTGAAACATTTTGATACGGAAAAAAATTATATTTCGCTGAAATCGCTTTATGAATAATGTATTATACTTCCGAAGAATTTAATGTCAGCTTTCATACACTCCGCGCTTTCAGGGATATTTTAAAAAGAACTTTGAAAAAATATATATACATATATATGTGTAGAATATTGTGAAAATTTAATTTAAATTATAAGTCTGTGCAACGAGATATTTCGAAGATAATTGAGGGAAAAAAAGAGGAAAATTTACTTGTCAGAAACATTACGGAAAATCCAGTATCATAGAGATATATACATATATATATGGAAATCCCTCGTCTTTATCCTTTAAGCTTTCTTTAGTTAATTATATCCCACGAGATTAAATCTAATTTACGAATGAAAAGTATATCTATTCGATATAAAATTGTCTATTACTTTTTAATTTTTTTTCTATTTGGAAATAAGCAATTCGTATACTTAAATTTTTTAATACTTAACATTTTTAAATACTTCAAATATAGATAATATTCGATTCGAATGTAATTCTTACTTAATTACATTGAATTACTTACTTAATTTCAATATTTAGTTTATTTACATGTATAGTAATTATAATTATATAATCTCACCACTTTGTTGACATTGTCGGCAATTTTTAGGTTAGGAATTCCACTTTGTTCCTTTCTAACTTTTCAACACTTCGTTTAAATTATTTCGAAACTTTTCTCATTTTCTTTGCAAATATTATTACTCACACTTTTTTGGACTGGTATTACTCGTAAATTTTCACTGATTTCTTTAATAATAGAGGAAATTTTTGTACTTTGGTTCCTTTGGTTGGATTACGACCATTGCTTGCTTTGCATATCCAAACATGGATAAAACTATGTGAATTAATTTATTACTTATTCAAATCATCGTTACTCAGTTAGCATTAAAAACTTTAATTGATTTATACTATAATTACATAAGGAAAAGCCTATAAATCTTGTTATTTTTATGAAAATAATAACACAAACACTCAACTGCCGAAAAAAGTGAACAAAGTGAACTTTGTAACAATCGAAGTTCAAATATCGAATTCTCGACCACAGATGGAGGTAATATGCAATTAACTTCAGACCGGTTACTAATTTTAACGATTTTAACATTTTTGAAAATATATTTATTTACTTTCACTAGGTATTTATTTGATCCCGAAAGAACAGATTATAAATTTAAGATTAAAGTAACTGTTTCGAGTAAATCTCTTTTAAAGTTGAAACAAAACAATTCTATAACAATTGGTACACGAATGATCCCGTGATTAAAAGTTAAATCGGTTAAATCTCAGTTTATACAGAATTCCGGGCTATTTTATGATAATGCCAGAGCAAACAAAAACTGTAAACAACTAACCTTAGGATACCTAGATGTACTGGATATGCTTCAGCAAATAATATTCCAAGACAATTATTAATTACTGTTTATCTAATCTATAATTTATAACAATCAAAAGCAATGGATGCGGGTCGAAGTGTCGAAGTAACTTTACTAAACAGTCTGAAGTTGGCAGTAACCCCCACTCTCGAATATTGCCAATTTCAAGGGATTCCCGTAACTAAATACAGGGTTGGGCAGCTACGAGAAACTTAGTTTGTTACGTAACTTACACCGGTTGTTTATTATTTATTAATATATAAAAAGTATAAATCGTATAAATAATTAAAATAATACAAATTATTCGATACTTTAATACTTTAGATCTTTTGAATACAAAGCTGGAGATATTTAAGTAAAAATTCTATAATTTACATCTTTTCCTACACTCAACCCCTGAACTTTAAGTAAAGCATTTTTCTAAAACCAAAACACACAAATGAATTAAAATAAATAGAAAAAATTTTAACTTCCTGAAAATATTGCCTACAATTGAGAATTAAATATTTAAACGCAAAATAAATCGACAAATATTCCTCCCAGGAATGCCCAGAAGTCAGCACTTTATAAATCAGAATTTCATTAACTATTCCAACAAACTAAGTTTATATTAAACGAAAATTGTAATTGTTACTTTAACTTCTTGACAATTTTGTTGAGAATAAGCAATAAATATACAATTATTACAACTGTTTATTAAAATTTACCTCAAAACAATGGAACGTGATCGTCGCCATCGTCGCCATTTTTAGTGAATACACTCTGAAGTTGGTTACGATCACCAGCGCCACCACTTTCGATTTATTGATTAGCGATTAACTTCTCGCCTTCTCGCGGCACGTTTTTAATTATAACCTAAAAAAACAAACAAAAATGAAGAAGATTAACATTGTTTTTATTGTATTATTATTATTTGATCATATACACGTGTGTTTATTTGTAATTAATTTTATATTAGCTGGTTTTCTTAATTTCGCTAAGCACACCTACACACATTATTTTAGCAGAGGATTTATTTTTTTCCTTTTGTTGTCCTTATACAGAGCTGCAATCGCAACAAGGGATGGATTTTCTTGAGGGCTTTGGAAAAAAGAAAAATCAACATCATCTGAACAACTTGTCATCAATTCACATCAATCCACTCACGGCACAACCTTCCCTCAATATTCACTTGCATGGTCAGCATTTTTCGTTTTGTTTTATTTCATTCTTTTTCTTTGTTTTGCTTTTATTATTATTATTATTATTATTATTATTTGTTTTTTCATATTTTTATTGATTTTTTACAATACAAGAATAATAGTAAAGTGTATTAATAATATAATATATAATGGAATATTCAATAATGTTAGGAAAAAGGGATTATTTTGTAAAAAAAAAAAACCCTGTATAATTTATGTAAAAAAAATTTTTGTTTACAGCTTTGTTTGCAGCAGTCGAACATGGTCATATAGATAAGGCAAGGACTATTTTGGAGTCAACTGATGTAGATGTAAACAGGTAAGAAAATTGATATACATACACTAAAAAACCCTCTTAAATTCAATTAACAGAATTTTGGAAAATATTTAGGAATTTTCAAAGAATAATTAATTATATAAAATTACTTTTGTCCTGCTCTATATACTGACCTATTTTCGTCCGAAAGTACTGAATCCTGTAATATACCTTTCTTAGAATAGATCCTAATCCTTTAAGCCACATCTGCATCGTTGTACCTAATTGATTTACTAAAGTTATAATTTCAGAATGTTACGAAAACTAAATTGATTAATTTTTATTTCAGTTTAAAATTCGATAAAAAATTAATTTTTGAAAAAAAAAATAGAAAATTGATGGAAAAATGGAATAATTTAAATCAATTATGAATATTTTTCCTTCTTTATATATATATTATAAAAGTCATGTCATTTCTTTTATAGGGTTCATTTTGATAAAAATTGACGATTCGTTTCAAAAGCTCGCTTAGAAGTTTCTAGTTGCTTGAACATTGAAAAGTTTGATTACAACTACGTGCTCTTCCTAAATCGAATCTCACCTTCGAACAAGTTCTCACAAGAATATAAAAAGTTACAACCTTATCATGGAGTTCACCTCAAAGTATTTTCAATTCTAACATGAAAGTTTTGTCTATATATATATTATACGAAAACTTTTACAAAACAGATAAAAAAAAACAGAATACATTTTTTCGAATAATTCTATAATTAGAATATTGATTAAAATTATTAAAATTGTAAAATTTATTCTAAATTACGTTTTCTTTTTATTTAAAATATTTATTTTCTCTTTGTATAATTTATATTTAATAATCGTTGTATTCCGGTAATCTGTTCGCAGTTTGAAATTAGTTGTTGATTGCTTTTTTGTTTCCTAACTTTTTTAAAAAAATTTCTTTTTAAATATTTTCAATTTTAAAATTAGTGTATTGAAAATCATTGAATTCTTGCAAAGAATCTTATCAAAAAATTTCCAGAGAATAATTAAATTCCTTCTAAGAATTTTTTTATTTATGAAAATAATTGAATTCTGGAGATGAATTTTTATTAAAATTTAAAAAAATCCTAATTAAATTCTTTTGAAGAATTTCTTTTTAATTTTTTTAAAATAATGGAGTTTCTTTAATAATTTTAATTGAAAATTTTGAAAGCAATTAAATTTTATGAAGAAGAATTTTATTTTAATATTTATAAAAATAATTTAATTCCTGCGAAGAATTTTACTATTTATAAAAATAATTAAATTGTTCCGAAGAATTTATTAAAATTTTAGGAAATAAATTAATTTTATGTAAATATTTGAAAATAATTAAATTCTTCTAAGGAATTCTATTAAAATTGTTTTTAAAAGAATTTAATTTCTGCAAAGAATTTTACTATTTATAAAAATAATTGAAATGATCGAAGAATTTATTAAAATTTTAAGAAAAATTGAATTGTTTTGAAAAATTTGATGAAAAAATATTTGAAAATAATTAAATTCTTTCTAAAAATTCAATTAAACTTGTTTCGAAAATAATTGAATTCTTTCAATTTTTTTGACGAATATATTTAAAAATTGCATTAAAAGTAATTTAATTTTCATATAGAATTTTGTTAAATATTTTGAGAATGAATGAATTATATTTAGAGAATTTTAAATTCTTGTTGAAATTGAATTTTATGGAAATTTTTGAAAATAATTAAATTCTTTCGTGTAATTTTATTTAAATTGGATTAAAAATAATTTAATTCCTGCAAAGAATTTTAGTATTTATAAAAATAGTTGAATTGTTTCGAAGAATTTATTAAAATTTTAGGAAATAATTGAATTTTATGGAAATATTGGAAAATATTTTAATTCTGCTGAGGAATTCAATTAAAATTGTTTTGAAAATAATTAAATTTTTCCAAAGAATGTTATTATTTATATAAAAATAATTAAATTCTTGCGAAGAATTATATTAAAATTTTTGAAAATATAAACATTAATAATAATAATTAATTTTGTACTTCATAAGCGAATTTTAAAAATTTTGATTATGAAATTATTTTAAAATTTATATTTGAAAATAAAAAAAATGTTTTGCGCGTATCATTTGCTTTATAATATTTATAACAAAACTTTATATTTAACTTGGTTTTTAATTCTTGAATATTAAATAAGTATTTGAAAGGAGAATTTTTTTTTTTGTTATTTTCTGTAAAGAAAATATTTTTGATACTAAAATATAGTTAAACGAGTTAAAATCTTCGTATAAAACAATTTGATAATCGATGAACTTTAAGTAATGTTAGTGTCGTGTACTTAGTTTGGTGACCACGTTTTAGTGGTTACTAGTGAGTTATTTTGAAAGTTTAATGTTGATAGGTACAAGTACAAATCGTGTTTAAACCTTATTTTATAAAGAATGCATTTTCCTTGAGTAAATTCACTATCTTTTTATCATCAAAATATTCGATAAATGAATTTTATAGAATTAATTTTTCAATCGTTCCGATTATTTCTTAGAAACAAATTTCTATAAAATGCTTATAAAATGAAATCCGAAATTTTTGAAAATGATTTTAAATTCATATTATTATTATTATCAGTTTTATTATCTTTTATTTATTTTTTAATTGATGTTGCATGTTATATCGAGTGTTTACACTTTATTCTTTGAAAATGGAAAATGCGAAGTCAGATTTCAATTACTTTTCTAAAGTTTATTTTTATTTTCAGTGTAAATAGCGACGGTTTGTCTCCACTGGACGTGGCAGTCTTGAGTAACAACAGACCTTTAGCAAAAATGTTGGTTACATTTGGAGCACAGGAAGGCAATCAGTGTGAGTATTGTTTTTCTACTCCTTTTTATAACAAGTAAATTGTGCGATTTTTTTTCTTTTCTCTCTTTCTCGTTTTATTTTTTTTTTCTTTCTTTTCTCGACGGGAAAAATTTTTCTATAAAAATCTTACGTAATCTAAAGAATACTCACATTCACCTTTTTAATATATAATATAATAGTAAAATCAATACTAGAAAAGTCGCCAAAAAAAAAGAAGAGAAAATTTCAAATAGAATCTAAGAAAATAATAAAAAATGGATTTATTTCAAGTTCTAAAAGTTCACAATTATTGAAATGCACTAAAATCAATGGAATTTTTTCTGCCATGAAAAATGGAACGACTGCATAGTAAACGAAGATGGATTCCAATTAAATTTTCAAATTCCAAGTAAATTACAAAATTTTATTATTTTTTAACGATAATAAAAAAAAAAATTGTCGATTTCAATTGATAGGCGAGAAAGAGTTTTATTGGATTACGATCTTTTTTTGTATTAAATTAAAAGAGTTTTTTTACTTGAAGTTTATGGGTGAATTTTTGCAATTAAAATTAATTATCTAATTTGGATTGATAATTTTTAAATTTCAGTACATCTTCACTTTTCCTTGAATTTGTCCATCAAACTTATGAATTTTCATGCAAGTTGACTAGCATAAAAATATGCAAATTCATGCGCAAGAAGAAAATCTAATTTAATTAATACTTGATTAAAAAAATGAATAATAAGTTTTCAATCCATTTTTTTGTGTGCTATTTATTAAAATTTAATGTATAATAATAGAGAGAAGAGGGAAAAATCGAATTCTTATTATTAGTAATAATGATAATTAATGACAAGTACAAAACTAGTTTCATTATAAAGCAATTTGTATTCTATTTTGTCGAATTTACAGTCTAATCAAAATATTTTCATTTCCTCTTGTATAAACGGCCAAATATTCAAGTCACGCCAATTGAAATGAGAAACTCTTCTAATTTATAACGAGATGCACCGAAAATGTTTGTATATTTGCGACATATACTCGAGAATAATTAATTGTAGTGCATTAATTGGAATCTCCAATTCACACAAATTGAATGGCCACGATTTCAATTCGATATGGGACATTCTCATCAAGGATGAAAAGGATTATTGGAAGTCCTTGACTTATTCACTAGACTTCTTTTTTCAAACGATAATAGTCTTTGGTATTGTTCTGAATCGTTAAAAAAAAAGAAGATAACTTCTATTATTCACCACTAATATCATATTTCAATTTCCAAACTGACAAGATTTTTTTCTCTTGTGAGAAAAAAATTTTTTCTTCTTGAGTGGAAATTTAAAAAAATTTCTTTCTTTAAAGGAAAACTACTTTTAATTCTAATAATTACTTTCGATTTTATTTCAATTTAAAATAAAAATTGTTATTTATTTTTAATTGTAAAATTATTAATTACATAAAAAATGAAAGAAAACATTTGTATTTTGGGAAAAAAAATTTCAAATTGGTAACCGAGGGGAAATTGACTGATTTATTGATGATTAATCATTTTGTGTTTTAAAAAACGAAGAGAAAACGCATGCAAAATTGAATCGATTTGATAATCGTAACTCGCGTGTTATATATATATACGACAAACATTTCGTGAAAATCCATTTTGACTGTACACTTGGTATTTGCAGAATGGCTTTAGCCATCCAATTACTCTACAACACTGGAAATGACATTGTTCCCCAACAAGAGAATTTAATTAATTCGTAAACAAACATAACTTTTCCGAGTGTTTTATTTTCATTAAAATTACTTTCATTATTAGTTCCTTATTATTTCCGGGACAAATACCCCAAGGAATATGTTTTTATTAGCTTATCAAAATATATTTCAGTAAACACTATTTTTTTATTAATCATGGTTGCCACAGAGGAACCATGGAAAACCTGGAAAAGGTATTGAATTTAGGAAAGGGTATGGAAAACCTGGAAATAGAATGGAATTTAAAAAAATTTCTGCAATTTCGCCTGTTTTTAAAGATTTTTAACAAAATTTTAATTTAAATTTATTATTCAATGATTTTCATAAATAATAACATTTTTTACAGGGATTCAATTATTTTCATAAATTCATAATAAAACTCATTGCAGACTTTCAATTATTTTTAATTTTTAATACAATTTTAATGGAATTCCTCAAAAAATGTAATTATTCTTAAAAATTTTATTAAAATTCAGCAAAGAAATTTAATTATTTAAAAAACTTTTGCTACAATTTATTTATTACAATTTCATTATTATTTTCAATACATTTTTAATTGAATTTCTTAAAAAAATTGAATTATTTTCATAAATAATGAAATTCATTGTAACAATAAAATTTTTTTCAAAATAATTTTCATAAAATTCTTCGTAGAAATTTAATTAATTTCAAAAATTTGTCAAAATTCAATTATTTTCAATGTCTAATATTTCAATAAAATTTCACAAAAGAATTCAATTATTTAAAAAGATATTTTAATAAAATTCGTCTCAGGAATTGAATTATTTTCAAAAGTATTCTAATTCTTCGCAGAAATTCAATTATTTTCAAAAATTTACAAAAATTCTCGTCAAAATTTCAATTATCTATATAAAAAATAAAATTTCTCTCCGAAATTCAATTATTTTCAAAAATTATGGTATAATAAAATTTTTGTCAGAATTTCAATTATTTTTAATACAATTTTCATCAAATTTCTGAACAAATGAAATTATTCTTAAAAATTTTATTAAAATTTGTGAAGAGAATTAAATTATTTAAAAGTTTTGTTGATAAAATTCTTTATTTTATGAAAATTTAATTTTAATAAACATTTAATTATTTAATAAAATATTTATTTTTGTTGTTAAATAATTGAAATCTCGTAGAATTTTCTAATAAATATTGATTTAAAAATAAATTTCAGTTAAAATTTTAGATTATAATTGAATATTGAAAGCATTATAGCGTGGATTTTTAGAAATAATTGAATTTTCAAAAGGTTTCAAAATTAAAATCTCTGAAAATTTGAACTTTTCATACTTTTAATTAAGAATTTTGTAGAATAAATTTTTTTCAAAAAGTTAAATGGAATTTTTTTTAATTATTTAAAGTTTTTAATTTCTAATACATTTTTAATATTAAGGACTGTCAGAATAATCAAAATTTCATAAAATTAAATTGTAAAAAAAATTTGGAAATTCTCAAAGAACTTTTTCAAAAATTATTTTTAAAAAAATATTGACCTAAAGAAGAATTTTAGTTGAAAATTCTAGAAATGAATAATCGTAATGAAATTTAATTGTGTTCAATAATTTACAAATATTCTCATCAAACTTTCAGTAATCTTTATAAATTTTTCTCCGGAATTCAATTATTTTCAAAAATTTTAATAAAATTCTTGGCAAAATTTCAATTATTTTCAAAAACTCTTAAAAAATTCTTTGGAGAAATTCAATTATTTTTAATTAAAATTTTAATCAAATTTCGAAAAAACGAACTTATGTTTAAAAATTTTATTAGGTACGATTTGTCAAGAGAAATCAAATATCTATTTAAAAATTTGTTGAGAAAATTCTTTCTGAGAGTTCAATTTTACGAAATAATCAATTATTCATTTTTGTATTTCAATAATAGAATTCTCGTAGATTTTTTTTAGTAAATATTGATTTAAAAATTAATTTCAGTTAAAATTTTACATTATCATTGAATATTGAAAGCTAATAGCGTAAATTTTTAGAAATAATTGAATTTTGAAAAGATTTAAAATCAAAATCTTTGAAAACTTTAACTTTTCGTATTTTTTGATTAACAATTCTGTAGAATTATTTTTTTTAAAAAAGTTTAATTGAATTTTTCTTTTTATTTATTTCTAGTTTTTATTTTCTAAATATTTAAATAAAGAATGTCAGAATAATCGTACTTACATAATAAGTTTTTTTTGTAAACAAAAGGATTTGGAAATTCTGAAAGAACTTTTTCAAAAATTATAAAAAAATTGAGTTCAAGAAAAATTTTAGTTAGAAATTCTAGAAATGAAGAATTGAATTGAAATGAAAATAATTTTGAAGAAATTACAGTAACAATATTTTTATAAGATAAAATAATGATAGTATCAAGTTTTAATGATTATAAAACATGAAGAAAGCGATTACTCCGAGTCGAAGACTCGGAGTGATCGATAACTTCATGTTTTATAATAAATATATTCTTATAAGTTATTGAATTTGAAATTTTTGAAAATTTTAATTTCTATATGAAAAAATAATAATGATTAAATATTTATTTAAAAATGAAGTTATTGATATTTTCGAATAATATTCGTATTAAAAACCTGGAAAAATTCCGTTTTTTAACCTGGAAAAGTCAGGGAATTTGAAAAGAGCAAAAGGGTGGTAACCCTGTTAATTTATTATTGATTAATAATCACTTTTTACTGGTTTTATCATTTTGTTATTTTTTATTTTAATTTTTTTCTGATAAATCGTTTTTAGATAAAATATTTTTTACTTCGTATTTTATAAGTTGATGAATAGAAAATTTTTTGTGAACATACGAAAAGTTTATTATTAATTTATTATTAATGATGGAATTTGTTTAACAGTTAAATCACCAGATTCGTTGGGGAGTCATTTGGCATCATTGCTGTCAGAGGCAGAGCGACGTGTTCAAGAACTAGGAGGCAGTACTTCTGGAAGTAGTGGAACGACCCTTTTGGAACCACTGAGTCATAGGTCCAGTTTCTCAAACCCACACAATAATCTGACAGGATGTAGCGGAAACACCGAAGACAAACAACTAGCTCTTTGGGAAAGGAGAGCACGAGCTTTAAGGAAAATGTTACTTGGTTTTAATCAAGCCAGTGAGTTCTCTATTCAACACTCGCCAACACTTTCTTCCACTCTTAACAATGACGAATATAAAAAACTTTACCACCTTAAATTTTTCAATTCATCACTTTGATTCTAAATTTTCTTTTTTTCACTTTACAAATTTGCATTTTTTTCTATTTTTAACTTTTTGTATTTTCTATTTTTTTTTAAATTTCAATTTTAATTATTAAACAATTAAAAAAGGATATGAATTTGAATAATTTTATTTTATTAATTTTTTTAAAGAAGAGTAAAATTTTTTCCTTTTCCGCTTCAATTATTACAAAATTGTACATTCATATTAACTGAAATATTTTACGACTCTCACATTTTTACATATTAAATTCCAGAGCGATAAAAGGAATGTAACTTGAAAGTTTTTTTCAAGTTTACAAGAGATTACAAATTTTATTCACAATTTAAAATTCAAATCCAACAGTAGAAAGAAAAGAATGTGCAAATTTTTCATAAAGGAAAATTATTCACACGTCTTAAAAATTTAAAAAAAAAAAAATAAAAGGAACTTGAAATTGGAAATTAAATAAAATTATAAATTCAGCTCTTAAATTTTTTAATTCTTCAATAAAAAAATATTTTTTTGGAAAATACTTTTTATTTCAATATCAAAATTAAATTCAATTTCAATATTTGAAAATTGTTCATCTCACAGGACCGCCGGATAAGCCGTACTTGGTATCGGTTGATGTCACGGGTACAACTTCCGTCATAGCCAGGTTTCAAGAATCAGATTCGCATGATTCCGCAATTTGCACAAAATTCAAAGTTCAGTGGAGTGTGAAAGACGATTTCTCGGTGTATGACGAGAGGGAAGTTTTAGACATGAAACAGAGGGAATGTAGAATCGATGGCCTTATTCAAGGTCAAAAATATTATTTTAGAGCTGCTGCTGGAAATTTGAAAGGCTATAGTAAATTTCGACCTTCGACACCGGCTTATGTAACTCCAAGCAGTAAGTCAAGTACACATTTTTTTGGCATATAAGTTTCATGATTATCACGTTAAAATCCCTCTTCAAGATAAGCGATTGAAATTAACATTCTACCTAATCTTCACCTTCCACTTAATTACAACCCTCTTCTATATAATTACAATCTTTCTTCTTTCTAATAATTTTTTATTTATTTCTTCTATCCGAGGTCTCTTAAATTTTATTATCATTATTTTTTTGTTATCTTTTATTTAATTATTTTTATTTTTTACTAATTTTATTTGTTTTTATTTTTATTTTCTGTTTTGTGATTGATGGGAACGGAAAGAGATTTAATAGAATGTTTTTGTAAAAAAAAATAATTGTTAGTTAATTAATTCTGATTTAAGTTCGTTATTTACTAAATAAGTGGGTAATTAATTTTGAAGGTTGGAGAGACATTGACGGAAGGGTGCCAAGGTTCGCTGGCCGATTGGAGCAATTAGATACCCTTTTTACTGATATACGTGGTGCGGAATATACACAAGAGACACCAGCGGCACAAAGGCGTAATCATAAGAAAAAGACAACGATAAAGCAATTATTCACAGCGACAAGTAAATTTCAAAAAAATCTTCGACGAGGAGTATTCCTTGCGTGTTTACTTTATAACGAGGATAAAATATTGGTGACAAATGAAGATTTTCTGCCTGTTATTGAAATTGACGAGACTTATCCAAGTTGTATTTATAATGATTTTCATTGGCTTATGAAAATTGCCTGCACATGGGACGATGTTAAATCACTACGTCAGGATATGGAAAAAAGTCATATGAGCTCGACGAATCATTTTAGAATAAAATTACTTCAAGCCGCTTCACAGATGCAGGTTATTTGATTTTCTTTTTTAATTTATAATTGGATTAAGGCAGAGCTCGAACTAGGTCCGTAAATTTGCTTGAAGACGGTAAAAGTCAGTTTTTTTTTAAAAAAGGGTCCGTAAAGTCCGTAATTTAATTGAGAAAAGACAAATTCAATTATGTTCAAAAATTTTTTAAAAATTCTCGTCAAAATTTCAATTATCTTTAGAAATAATTGAATTAATTATTGAAAACTATATAATGAAATTCTTCTCATGAATTTAATTATTTTCATAAATAATAAATTTTTAACAAAATTTTACAAAAAAATAAAATTATTTCAAAACAAATTTAATAAAATTCTTTGAAAAAATTTTAATTATTTTTAAAAATAATAAAAGTCATCGCAGAATTTCAATTATTTTTAATACAATGTTAACCAAATTACTCGAAAAATTTAATTATTGTTCTTTAAATTCTTGAAAAGAATTCAATTTTAAGAAACATGCAATTTTTCAATAAATTGTTTTTTTTGTATTTAAATAATTGAATTCTAGTTGAATTTTCTAATAAAAATTTATTTAAAAATTAATTTTAGTTTAAATTTTAAATTATAATTGAATATTAAAAGCAATATGGCTTGAATTTTTAGAAATAATTGAATTTTGAAATGGTTTCAAATTAAATTCTTTGAAAATCTGAATCTTTTAAATTTTTAACTAACAATTCGGTAAAATTATTTTTTTTTTTTAAATTTAATTGCCTTTTTTTTAAATTGTTTGAAGTTTTTATTTTCTAATATATAGGTATTTAATGGAAGAATTTCTAAATAATTAAAATTTTCTAAAATTGAATTGTCAAGAAATGAATTTGAAAATTCTCAAAGAACTTTTTTAAAAATTATTAAAAATAATGCATTTATAGAAGAATTTTAGTTAAAAACACGAAAAAAAATTTAATTTTGGAAAAGTTACAATAAATTATTGCAGAAATTCAATTATTTTTAAGAGTAATAATATTCTTTGCAAAAATTAAATATTGTTTAAAAATAATAAAATTCTTCTTAGGGATTCAATTATTTTCACAAATAATAAGACTCATCGCAGAATTTCAATAATTTTTAATACATTATAATAATCGTAAGTTTCCTTTCCGTTAGCAAATTATCTGCATTCATTTGTTTGTTTTGAAATTTAAATTTTGTAGGTTAAGTATTGGCATCTTTTATATATTTTTTTATGTCAAACTTTTTAATGTGGAAAATACTTTACTTATTAAATTGTCTCGACTCTTTGGTAAAAAATCTAAAATTATCGAAAATTATCAAAAATTCAAAAATCCGATTTTCTTAAAATTAAACATTTTTTCCTCTCTTTTATGGGATTTAGCTTCATTATTTTTGTGCTTTTGGAAAATACTTTACTTATTAAATTGTCTCGACTCTTTGGTAAAAAATCTAAAATTATCAAAAATTCGAAAAAATTCAAAAATCCGATTTTCTTAAAATTCAACTTTTTTTCTTTTCTTTTATGGGATGTAGCTTCATTATTTTTGTGCTTTTGGAAAATACTTTACTTACTAAATTGTCTCGACTCTTTGGTAAAAAATTTAAAATTATCAAAAATTCAAAAAATTTCAAAAATCCGTTTTTCTTAAAATTCAACATTTTTTCCTCTCTTTTATGGGATTTAGCTTCATTATTTTTGTGCTTTTGGAAAATACTTTACTTATTAAATTGTCTCGACTCTTTGGTAAAAAATCTAAAATTATCAAAAATTCGAAAAAATTAAAAAATCCGATTTTCTTAAAATTCAACATTTTTTCTTCTCTTTTATGGGATTTAGCTTCATTATTTTTGTGCTTTTGGAAAATACTTTACTTATTTAATAGTCTCGACTCTTTGGTAAAAAATCTAAAATTATCAAAAATTCGAAAAATTTCAAAAATCCGTTTTTCTTAAAATTCAACATTTTTTCCTCTCTTTTATGTGATTTAGCTTCACTATTTTTGTGCTCTTTAAAAATACTTTACTTATTTAATAGTCTCGACTCGTTGGTAAAAAATCTAAAATTATCAAAAATTCGAAAAAATTCAAAAATCCGATTTTCTTAAAATTCAACATTTTTTCCTCTCTTTTATGGGATTTAGCTTTATTATTTTTGTGCTTTTGGAAAATACTTTACTTATTAAATTGTCTCGACTCTTTGGTAAAAAATCAAAAATTATCAAAAATCCGAAAAATCGAATTTCTTAAAATTCAACATTTTTTCTTTTCTTTTATGCCATTTAGCTTTATTATTATTTGAATTTTTATTCAAGAGAAAAAATGGAAAACTGAAAAAATTTAGAAACTTAAAAATTCCAGGCCTTTTCCATGATTTCCCTGATTTCCAGAAGTCTTTTAAAAATTCCATACCATTTCCATGATTTCCAGATTCTGTAGGAACCCTGCTTTTGTCTGACTTTCTTCTAAATTATCGAATTCAGTGATTTCTGGGGTGAATTTGGTTAAGTTGTAAAATGATTAATTTCTATTTGAATTCGTTTTTTTTTGAATGTAGAAAATCTGATGTTAATTTAATTCTTTCTTCGCTATTTCAAGTAAAACTTTTTTCAGTGTGTAATAATTATTATTTCTTTAAAAAGTATTTAATTTAAAATGGCTTTATAAAATAAGCAATGCAAAAGATGACCCAGATACTAATTGTAATTGTTCTAGCAATAGTTTAAGTCTAGTAATGTAAATTCTATTTAAATTGATACCATTGAGTGAAATTATTTGAATTTTAGTTAGTTAAATCTCTTTGTTAGGTTATAATAATTATTTCTTTAAAATTTTTTAAATTGTTTAAAATAAGCAGCCCCATACAACATTCCCGCGCGCTTGCGCGCGGATAGTTTGGCTAGTACAATTTTAATCGAATTTCTCGAAAAATGTTATTAAAATTAGACGAAAGAATTTAATTATTTAAAAATTTATTCATAAAATTCTTTTTGGGAATTGAATTTTAAGAAAGATTCAATTATTCAATAAATTATTTATTTTTTTATTTAAATAATTGAATTCTTGTAGAATTTTGTAATAAAAATTTATTTAAAAATTAATTTCAGTTAAAATTTAGATAATAATTGAATATTAAAAGCAATATGGCTTGAATTTTTAGAAATAATTGAATTTTGAAATTAATTTTGTTGAAAAAGTTTAATTATATTTTTTTCTTTATTATTAGAAGTTTTTATTTTCTAATATTATTAAGTTGAAGAATTTACGAATAATTAAAATTTGGTAAAATTGAATAATGTAAAACAAATAGATTGGAAAATTGTCAAAGAACTTTTTCGAAAATTATTAAAAACATCGATTTATAGAAGAATTTAAGTTAAAAATTCTAGAAAATAATAATTAAATTAAAATGGTGGAAATAATTTTGAAGAAATTGCAGTAACAATATTTTTGTAATATAAAATAATGATTTTATCACCAGGTCAACTTTAATTATTATAAAACTCGGACTGGTTATATTTTTGTCAGTAATTGGTCCGTAATTTTTCATTTTGAGACCTTAAAGTCCGTATTTTTAAATACTTTCACTGATTCGAGCGCTGTTAAGGTTTTTTTTCGTTTTTTTTTTATTGGAGTTTTCTCCAACTAATTTAAATAATTTAAATTCATTTCAGGCGGCATTGTGTACACAGAACCTAGGGCAACTGTATTACAAACCGATTCGAGATATTCAAGGCACGTTAGTATTTACGACGATAAACTATGTGAAAACGCCAAAATTGGTTTCTGTTTTGAATAGCAGATGGTTACCGTTGAGTAAAATAACGAAGAAAATAATAACACACGAGGACAGTAATGTGGCTGACATTCTCATGGCCAGTATACAGGAACAAATAACTTATCATCAAGTCAGTAGTATTAAATTATCCCGTGGTCTCTATCTCGGCTATTTGAAAATGCAAAGCAGCGTGGATCTTATTCAGGTCGTTGTGCCAGTCAAGTCGCCGAATGTTCTGCCCCATTGTAAAATTCGGGACAATCCTCACGTTTCAGCGTGAGTTTATTTTTCTAAATTTAAATATTTTGTTTTTTATTTTCTAATTCTTTGTTTTTGTTATCATATTTGAAATTAATTTAAAAAGTTCTTAAAATTTTGTTTTGTAGGGAAGAATGGGAGTACTTGAAGAGGATGACGCGAATTCAGGCGTCTTCGACATCGGTCCTGCAGGACGAGGAGGAAAAGGAGAATGCCTCGAATGAATCACAGGGAACGGAGCAGCAGAAGCAATTTATTGATATTGTCTCGCAAACGGCGAAACGTCTATTCAGTCATATGGAAATTAATCCTGAGGACTCCCTTGTGCATCGTCTCTATGACGCGGAAGTGGTCGATTTAACTCACAATGTGTCATTTCTCATCACTGTTCCACCGGCAGAGACTGCGTGCTCAGTTCCCGGTACGAGGGAAATTTTACTTCAACGTGGCGATCTTCTATCGTTGCCAATTCAAGTCTTTGAAATGGTTCACCTCATGACTTATCAAAAAGAAGTGATAAATCGTTACTCGAGAATGAGTTGTATTTTAGAATTGGACACAGCTCAAGCTCAACACAACCAACGCGAGGCATTCAGTACATCAGAATTAAATATCGCCAAGGACAAACTAATGAGACTTCAGGATCTTCAATCACAAATGAATACCGTTTGGAAAGGTGCACGTTGGCTCGTTGACGTTATTACCTTCGCTCGGGACAGAGGATCAACACTGTCAAACGTAAGTAATTTCCATTTAATCCCGAAATTTAATCTTGTACCTAAAATTAAAAAAACAATTTTACAACTAGGCTCAATCAGCGGGAATTTGCATGAAACACCTGTTGAGTTTGGACAGAAATAAAAACAGTGGTAACAGTCTAAAGAGAAGTCTCCTTCAATTACCTCCGAGAGATCCAAAATTAGTAAAATCAAGTCCTGGAAGAGGTAGTTGGCCAGGTCCAAATATCACAAATTCATCGTCAAATCTTCTAACAACGGAATTTAGTAAAAGTGAACAACAATTACCAAGCAGTCAATATATTCGTAAAGGTAGTGATACATCGAATATTTCAAGTGACACCGAACAGGTGAAATCATCACTTCCAGTGAGTAGTACCAGTAATTTATCAAATAGCAATAATCATCATTTGATTCCACTGCAAAATATTCGACTACCACCGTCAAAATCAGAGGATACACTTTTATTGGCGAAATATAAACAAAGTCCAAAGAATCGTTCAGTGGCAGTGACATCAGTTTCGGCGAGTACAAGTCCATTATTGAGTATTAAACCAATGATGTACGGTGGATCACTTCTCAGTGTTTCGACCGCAATGACAAATACAACGAGTTTATTGAGCGTCAGTAATAACACGAATTCAGACAGTATGCATTCAATAAGCAGCGATGAATATTCAACACCAAATTCAAGTGTTTGCATAAAAACCGGACACGGGAAAATAAAATCATCAAAACCAACTGCAAGTGTTGCTGCAATGGCTAGTGGAACGATTGAGGGTCATCGTGATGAGGAGAAGGATGAAGCTACAATGATGCCTGCACCACTTCCTGGAATTTTGCAGGTAATTTTTTATCTGCACTTTTTTCAAAATTAATTTTAAATTCTCATAAATTTTTTAGGGTTGCCACAAATTCAAACATTTTTAAAATTCAATAAGAATATTATTATGAAACATGAAGATTATTCAATTATTTCGAAAAATTTTAATACAATTTTTGGAAAAATTTCAATTATTTTCAAAAATTTTCCTCAATAAAATGATTTTCAATATTTATTATTTTCATAATTTTTTTCAAAAGAATTCAATTATTTAATAAAAATTTGATAACACTCTACACAAGCATTTAATTTTTCCATAAAATAATAAAAATTTTACAGGAATTCAATTATTTTCACAAATAATAAAACTCATTGCAGAATTTCAATTATTTTTAATACAATTTAAATAATAATTGAATTCTCGAAGAATTGTCTAATAAAAATTAATTTAAAAAATTAATTTCAGTTAAAATTGTAGATAATAATTCTATATTAAATAAATTGAAATTTTATAAAGTTTCAATTTTGCATGAATTTAATTAGAAATTTTAAAGGAAATTTTTGAAAAATTTTAATAATTCAAATTTTTCTGAAATTAGTTGAATTTTTTTAATATATATTTAATTATTTATTAAAAGGAATGGATTTATAAAAGAATTTTAGTTGAAAATACGTTAAAAAATTGAATTTTAGAGAATTTACAAAAGATTGCAAAAATTCAAGGTATTTTCAAAAGTAATAAAATTCTTCGCAGTAATTCAATTATTTAAATTTTTTTAAAATTCTCGTAAAAATTTCAATTATCTTTATTAAATAATAAAATTCTTCTCCAAAATTCAATTACTTTCAAAAAATTTAATAAAATTGTGGACAGAATTTCAATTACTTTTAAAAAATTTTCCTGTATTCAATAAAATTATAAATTTCTTTGCAAAGAATTCATTTATTTTAACAAGTAATAAAATTTTTCACATGATTTCGTTGTAAGAATTCCATTATTTTCATAAATTATAGAATCTTTCTGAGAATTTCAATTATTTATAATACAATTTAAAGTAAATTTCTAGAAAATTGGAATTATTTTTTTAAATTTTTTGCAAGAATTTAATTATATTTCACGAATATAATAAAATTCTTCGTTGAAATTCAAATATTTTCAAATATATTTTAATACAATTTTAAGTAAATTCTTCGAAAAATATAATTATATTCAATTTATATATTATATTATTTATATATTCAATTTTCCTTATAAATTCAATTATTTATAAAAATTGTAATCGTAATTCTTCTAAAATTCAAATTTTTAAAAAAATTTTAAATAAAATTATTCGATAAATAATTCATAATAATTTTATGAAAGTTTTTCAAGAATTAAATTATTTAAAATAAATCCAATTTCATTTTCTATAAAGTTCAATTATATTCAAAAGTGGAAATAATTTATGGTTTTTTATTAAAATTCAAGGTGATTTAAAAGTTTATAAAGCAAACAAAACAAAAGGAATTGAAGAAGAATTAAATCTTTTTAATATTTTCTTCGAAGGTTGCTCTTGACAATAATCCAGAATTTTCGTATGAATTTTGAAAGATTTAATATTTTTCCATTTTTATAAAATTGCCGGACTTTTCCCTTGATTTCCCTGATCTGTGGCAACCCTGTTCTCTCAATATATTTTTCAACGAATTTTTTTTCAAGACAAAATTCCAAAATTTGTTTGTAGGATTCCTCAAGTCTTAGTGATTCTTGTTAGCGACAGTTCGACTGAGGCAGCAAATTAATTCGAGTAAGCTGCGCCGATAAACCAAAAAAAAAAAAAATGCATAAAAATAATTATCCAAATTCTTGTGCTTTGTCTAATTGTTACGTTTTCTTGTTGTTTGTGGATATGAACGTGTACCATTTGAATATTATTCCATTTTAACCCAAATTTAAACAAAAAATAAATGATCAATGTCGTAATGCTTGTTATAATCTAATTTTTAATATCCAAATAATAAGTAATTTTTTTGAACTAAAGCTTCTGTCTTTTAAAATGCTGCTTGTGTGCTAATTCACGAAACGATGGAACATCTAATTTTTAAACAAAAGTATGAAATGAAATTAAACAAATTTTCAAGCAAAAGAAAATAATTTCTTTTATAGAGAAAATAATCTACAAATTACAAAAAGTAAAACTGTGGATAAATTATTTGTGATTCCCTCGATTCGTGGTTCATTGGAAGAAATAGCGAAATATTTAATTAAACGAATGTCTCTGGTTTATTTATTGTGTTAAGAATAAATATTTGAGTTTAAAATGTTTTTTTTTAATTTCAGGTTTACGCGGCCTATGAAACTGGTTTAGCATCAGGGACAAGTTTGAAACTACATGTAACCCCAAGAACCACAGCAAGAGAGGTGGTCGATTTAGTAGTGAAACAGCTCAATATGGCCGTAATGTTGAAAGGCCAAGAAGGGCCAATTTATACATCCGACGAGCTACCGAACTTTTGTCTTGTTGCCGTTATTGGCGCACGAGAACGATGCCTCAGGGATGACTTTAAACCCCTTCAGCTTCAAAATCCATGGAAAAAAGGTCGACTCTACGTACGACAAAAACAAGATGTTCTTGCTGCTCTAGAGCACAGCAGTAAACACACAACATTTTTGTAGCAAATTTTTAAAAAATTGAACGAGTCTTGAAAAATTTAGACTTTTTTTAAATTTTCGATAAAATTATTTATAATTTTAATTTTTTTAATTTTTAATTTTATCCTCGAGATATGTAATTCTAGAATTAGTATTCTATTTATATAGAAAAAAAATTGAATTTAAAAAATAATAAATAGATTTTTGATTATAAATAACATATCAGTATTTACATTTAAATTGTGCCTTTGTTTCTCTATATCAACAAAATTTCGATGTTTCGAAAATAATATCAATTTTCAAATTATTTCAAAAATTGTAAGAAACAATTTTTTTTTTCAAATTTTTAGAGAACAATTTTTACACTTCTCAAATAGGTGTAAATTTGACCCACAATCTATTTTTTTACAAAGACAATTTTTTCATTTTTTAAAGAATAAAAAGACTCGTTCTTTTTAAAATCGATAAAATTATTGTAAAGCCACGATAGTATTTCGAAATTGAGGCATAAAATGAATACAAAAACATTCCACGATGAATGTGATTTACTTCGAAATTCGAAGTTACGATCCTGTACTATTTTTCGAATGTTAGATAGTTTGTAAAGAAATTATTATATAAATAATACTCAAAATATTTCAATCTGTTATATATTTTAGATACTGATCTCAATGTTACGCGTTGTATAATGAGAATGTGATTCCCAACAAAAAAAAATAATAAAAACGATATCTGATCACGCGATAAATTCTTTTTATGATCAGATTGATATTTAGAAGAAAAAATGAATAATTTTTTTACGGAGCTACTTATTTCTTTCTTGACTTACAATTTTCAAACGCTCAATTACCGAAAGTTTACATAATTTTGCAACAACGATAAAGCAATTTTCTGCAATCTTCCAGAAAAAATTTCTCAACTATTCTCATATTCGAAATTTAAAAAACAAAATGAATTTTTGTTTCGTTAATATTGAAATTTATATTTTTAGATTTAGATTAAAATTTTACTATTTTAATTTTGGAAGAAATTAAATATTTTAATAATCTTTAGGAAAAATTTTTAATTTTTAAAATGACAGGGTTGCCACGCAACCTGGAAAACCTGGAAATGTCAGGGAATTTTATAAACCTTGAAAAAACATGTAAAAGTCAGGAAATTTTGATCGAAATCCTGGAAAATTGTTATTTTCTAAAGTTTATTCTTGAAATCTAATCTTACATAATTATTTCAAAATTAATTAAATTTTAAAAGAGTTGCGTTTACAATTTTCATAAGTACAGATGAATTTCAAAAGATTTTAATTTGAAATTTTGTAAAATTTCAATTTTGAATGAATTTAATTAGAAATCGTCTTAAAGAACGTAGATTTTTGAGAAATTTTAATTATTCCAATTCTTCTGAAATTATTTATATTTTTTAATACGTATTCTTAATTGCTTATTAAAAATAATGGATTTATAGAAGAATTTTAATTAAAAACACTAAAAGAAATTGAATTTTGAACCAATTACGAATGATTGCAGAAATTCAATTATTTTTAACAATTTTAATAAAATTTATGGCAAAATTTCAATTATTTTAAAAAACTTTTCTCAATTCAATAATTTTTAATCAATCTACTACTTTAATAAAATTGCCCAAAAGAATTCAATTATTTAAAAAAAATTTTAATAAAATTCTACGCAAACCTTTGCCACAATTGATTTATTATTTATTTATTTTCTATAAAGTTTTAATTAAATTTCTTGAAAAAATTAAATTATTTTCAAAAATATAAATGAAATTCTTTGTAACAATTCAATTTTTTTTCAAAATAATTTTAATAAAATTCTTCGTAGAAATTTAAATAATTTCAAAAATTTGTGAAAATTCAATTCTTTTCAATGTCTATTATTTCAATAAAATTTCATAAAAGAATTTAATTATTTAAAAAGACATTTTAATAAAATTCGTCTCAAGAATTCAATTATTTTCAAAAATTAATATAATTCTTCGCAGAAATTTAATTGTGTTCAATAATTTACAAAAATTCTCGTCAAAATTTCAGTAATCTTTATAAATTTTTCTCCGGAATTCAATTATTTTCAAATTAAAATATTTGAAAACTTTAACTTTTCGTATTTTTTGATTAACAATTCTGTAGAATTAATTTTTTTTAAAAAAGTTTAATTGAATTTTTCTTTAATAATTTATTTCTAGTTTTTATTTTCTATAAATATTTAAATAAAGAATGTCAGAATAATTGAAATTACGTAAATTGTAAACAAAAGGATTTGGAAATTCTCAAAGAACTTTTTCAAAAATTATAAAAAAAATTGAGTTCAAGAAAAATTTTAGTTAAAAATTCTAGAAATGAAGAATTGAATTGAAATGAAAATAATTGTGAAGAAATTACAGTAACAATATTTTTATAATATAAAGTAATGATAGTATCAAGTTTTATAATAAATATTCTTATATGTTATTGAATTTAAAATTTTTGAAAATCGTAATTTTTGTAAAAAAAAAAATAATGATTAAATATTCATTTAAAAATGAAGTTATTGATGTTTTCGAGTAATTTTACAATTAAAGAAATTCGTAAATAAATCTTAAACAGGAAAAACGTCGTTTTGTCTAGAAATCAGGGAGTTTGGTAAAATTAAAAATAAATTTCAAAATTAAAATTAAATTAAAATTAAAATTTGGCAAAATATAAATGTAGTTTTAAAAACCTGGAAAAATTCTGTTTTTTAACCTGGAAAACCTGGAAAAGTCAGGGAATTTGAAATGAGGAAAAGCGTGGCAACCCTGAAATGGCAATTCTTGATTGAAAACGCTTATTTATTGAAGGGATGAAAACAAGTTTCTTATACGAATTTAGACTCGCAATATAAAAAAAATAAATAAATATTATAGATTTTGGCAAAAATAGAGCTCCCTTTTTGAATTTGATTTAATTTATATAATTTTTGAAATGTGTATAATGTACGCTTAGAATGTTGCGTGAGAATAATTGATTATAGCTTATACAAGGAAATATTTGTGAAAATGGGGCTTATAGACTGCTTTAGGCTAGCGTATGACTGTTATTTCATTATTTAAAGTCAAATGCTAAAATATTACTTGAAATACAATAGCATATTTGTTAACAGAGGCTTTTTACTTTTTTACACACAATAATATATGTATCCTTTATGATTTCCTTTACCGAAGATTTTTAAACTGTAGATATACATATATATAATTTAACTATTTTTTACAATAAACAAACAAACAAACAAAAAAAAGACAAACATTTTTTACAGAATTCCCAATAATATTTTTATCTATTCAAATTTTTTTTAATTTAATTTAAATTAATTAAATTATTCATTCAGTAATATAAATTAATGTAATTCAATTATTAATTTTAAAATAGTTTCAGTGAAATTTGCATCTAGTGATAATTTGAATATTTCAAAAATAGTCTAGATTGGAATAAAATAATTGTACATAAAATATGTATAACTCAAAATGGGGTGTCGTATTAAAAAAAATTAAAAAATTGCGTCCTTTATTTATAAAATTACAATGTAATATTTTTGTCTAAAGAAATTTTTCGACATCCCGTTTTTTAGACCAGAAAATTTTTGCGCGATACCTCGTGACACCAACTATTTTAGATAAATTAATAATATTTAAATGTGTGTGCAAGAATGTAGTGCAAATTACAAAACAACTTTGTGAATAATTCTATTTTTTCAAATTGTTAAAATTTTAAACACGCTGTGAAAAATTTATTGCATTTTTTTTTTTTTTGGTAATATTCTCTTGGAAAAAAAACTTTTCAATTAATTTTTTAGTGTAAATTTAAATACTAGAGAAAACACGTAAAAATTTGTGATAAATTCAAAACATTCAAAAAATTTTTGTTTAAATTGTGTAATTTTTTTCAAATTAAAAGCGAGGTTGTGAGTATTAGAAATTAGGATTCTAAAGATAAATTAATATAAAATTTGGGAGAAATAAAATGAAATTTAAGTTTTGCACTACTTGAGTCACTGAGTGTCTATTCGATGTTGAATGTATAAAATGTTTGCGTAGCTTAAAAGTGTTACGAAAAAATAAATCGAAAGTTTTAAATAGGCAAAATTTTTCTTTTGAAAAGAAAAATGTATGAATATTGTAAATACAATATAACACAAGAACAAGAGAGAGGAAAAAAAACTTTAGCTTGAAGCAAAAAAAAATTATCTCATTCATTGGATTTTTGAATCTGTTAATAAAAGAAAAAAATATATAAGGATATTCATTTTATTTCATAGAATTAATGGACGTTATTGTCATCAATATATTATTGAACAAAAAAAAAAAAAAACAACTGGAATTACGTAAATAACGAACGAAAAAGGATTTTTAAAAATATCTATTATGTAATTTTAAAAGGCAAAAATGACTGGCGTACTTACACTGAAAAAATTAGGATTAATTTTATTTTTGATAAATTTTCGAACCAAGTTCTATAAAAATAAAATTACTCGTTTCGATTTTAACTCTTTACTCTTAATTTAAATAAAAGAGGTAATCTTCTTTTGTTTAAATAGAGAAATTGTATTAATTATTGTTATTTATATTTACTTGAATTATAAAATATAAAACAGAAAAATAATTGTAAAGCTTTGTAATTTTTTCAGTGTAACGGGTACGAATTTATGTATGTAATTATAAATTATAAATACTTATGATAATCATCAAATACTGATATGTTCATAGATTTGATGTTTATATAATAGAAAAAAAAGGAATGGCTGTGTTTCAGTCCATCTGTCTTTTTCGAAAGACAGACTCAATCTGTAAGGAATAAATTACACGGAATAAAGAATAATATTATATTTAAATACCTCTCTTTTTCTCTTCTGTACAAAAAAGAATTCGAATCAATTTTTAATTTTTAATATTTTTATAATTTCCATGTTTAAAAATTAATTCTCGTCATTGCGAATAAAAGCGGCGAGTTTACTCAAAGCGGATTTTTTTGACTCACTTTCAATCGGTGGCGTATCGTCAGTTTCACTCAATTTTCTCTTTCTTGTCTCTTCATTATCGTCCTTTGATAATGATAACAATAATGGTGATGCTGATGAAGGTGAATCAGCATCATCTGGTAAATTTCTGTATTTTTCTAAACATTTTGCGGTTAATTCGGTTGCAGTCATACCGGGGAATTCCTCCTCTAATTTCTGTTTATTCCGGACGTACCATTTTACGTAACTCTCTTTTTTCGTCGGTAATTTCTCTTTTGTTTTTATTGTTGGCTTTTTTGTTTGTTTCTGCATCACCGGCGACGTTATTGGCAATTTTTTTGTCTCCTCACGCATATCGAGCGCTAATAAACTAGAGACTTGTTGTGGTTTTTTTGTCTTTATAAATGGATTTTTTTTCAAGCCTTGACTATATGTTAGTGGTCGAATTTCAATCTCGGGTTTTTTAACGAGAGCTGGTAATATTGGTTCTTCTTCAATTTCATTAATTTCATTTGCTTTATCGGCTTCCTCCTTTTCCAATTCCTGTTTCTCTTGCTCTTGAATTTTATTTTCACCAATTGATTCTAATTTATTAGCGAGAGCCATTTTACCATTACGAGCGGCGTACTTAATGGCCAAATCAATTACTTTTGGTGATGCAATTTGTTGACACAATTCAACGGCTCGGAATTCAACTTTACTGCGACATGCGAGCTATTTTTTTTTAGGATAGAAAAAAATAATTATTTAAATTCTATTGAATTAATCTGAAATTTTAATATTGTGTCTGAATTATTCATTTAAAAATTAAATGAATAAAATTTGCTAAAGTAGGAGTAGAAATTTCTTACCGCGATAAGCATAAGGACGGCTTCGTTTTCTTCCTCGGGAAGACTTCCAATTTGCCAGACTTTAGCTTCTTTCTCTGATTTTTCTGTGTCAGGTTCACAAAGAGGTATTATTATTGGTATTTCTTGAACAATTGGTCTTGGATTAGTCGGGGGATAGAAACTTCCTTTGCAAAGAATGCATCTTATGATTCTTTCAGTTTCACTGATTCCAATTATAAAGAAATTGTCCATTTTACCCTTTGGCTAATTAAAAAAAAAATATCACAATTAATATTTATTTATTAAACACAATAATTTAATTTAATTTAATTTTTTTAACATAATTATTTATTTATTTAACTTTTTAAAAAAAATTTTTCAATCGTACCTGTCTGTCTGTGTCGCATGCCACCATCCACATTGATGATTTCTTGTTATACATTTTAATTACTCCGTCGGAATCCATTATTGTCGGTGAATGAAGATTGGACAATCCAAGCCACATTAATTTCGATTTTGGCGATAATGGCACTTCCAATTTTTCACTGCGTAAATTTTGTCCAATAATTCTTATCCACAGCATACTCATATGTTGATCGTCAGATGCGCCTTATTATAAAGTAATTAATTATTTAAAAATCGGTTAATTAAATTAAATTTAAATTATCAATAGATTAACATTTTAATTTAAAAATTAAATTCTATTCAATTAATTAAAATAATTCATAATATAATATAAAACATAAATAATCATAATGAAGGTGAAAATAATTTTAGTTCGTTTTCACTAGAAAAATTATTTTTACCTTCATTATGATTAAAGATAAACTAAAATGTTTTCAGTAATTTACCTATTCCTGTGTGATAAGTTACTAGAAGATGATTATTGAATCCGTTCATGGCAACAACAGGTCCAGGAATTGCAATTATTTCACGTTGAGTGCCGCCGATCATGAAAATTCGAAGATTTCGTCTATCGGTAGCAACGGCTACAAAAGTTGTGCCAACAGCAACACATTGAGCTTCTTCGCCTTCTGGTAGATCGACGGACCATTCTTTGTTTCCCGAACCCCAACCTTGTAGTACAACAACAACGAGTTTGCTTGGCGTTTCATCGTTCGATGTACAACACATGGCAAGTGCTTCAGTGGAAAGTGCCGCCATTGTATGATGCAAATAATTGCTAATTCGAATTGAATGATGAACAGACGAATCGTGAAATTGCACTTCTATACTCGAAGACTCTTCACCATCATCCACGGTGAAACACATTACAATTCCCACGTCATTCCACACCTTTATTATAAAAAATCACGTTATACTCTTTTATTAATTTTTATTTAATTCATTAAAAGAAAGAAAAAAATGTCTCCATTCTTAATTATTTTTGATGATTATTATTTTTTGTAATAAATTAGAATTTGCAATTAAAATTAAAATTCGATATTTAATTTACATACCATGTAACGTGAGAGTAAATGTTCGGGAGTAGAACTCGGTTGAAACGGTTCTTGTAAATTAATAACTGGTAGCAATTTTTTCGTCTCTTCGGCAACTCTCTCTGTTAAAATGTCAGTGACACTTTTTTGATCCGGATCGAGATTAACGGATGATTTGATTTTATTCAATGATATAACATTCTCATCGTCCTCATCGTCATCGTCGATATCGACGCCGAATTCCAATCCATTATTATAGTCGTTTCCATTTATTATCGAATCGGCCGGATCCAAACTGTCTGAATGTTCCATTTCAGCGCTTAGCTATAAATATAAAAGTAATTTACCATTTAATTTATAATACAGTAAAAGTTTACTAAAAATACGTAAATAAATACTCACCACTTCAATGCAACCCATTTGACCCAATGCATCACAAAAAACGATTTCTTTCGGCTTCTCCGGATGCCAACAAAATGATGTAATTTTTGCATTTTGTTGATGTTCAATGTGACCTAAAACTGCTTTATTTTCCAAATCCCACACAACTATCTCACCGTAAAACGAACTTGCCGCTAAACGTGTGCCGCATTCGGAAAATTTGCATATACTTATTTCCTGGAAATAATTATTAAATAATTATTTATAAGAATTTATTTTTCTTTGAACTATAAGTCATAATTGTAAACTGTAACTAAAAAATTATTTTAATATAATTTTTGTATAATTCTATTAAGAAATAAAACTCACAGTTTTAAGATCTGGACATTTTAGTCGGAAGGTCTCTTTCCAAGTTGATCTTTCAACGACAACAACGTCCTTTCCATGAGGATATGCGAGAAAATCGCCATTTTTGCAATTAAACGAAGGAACACAATAGATTTTCGCTGTTAAAAACGAATTACACTTTGGCACCACATTATTCCATGTATGAACACTTCGTTTCTCTTTAATATTCCAAACACGAATTGTACCATCAGCACTTGAAGACGCCTGGAATTGAATAAAATTCAATAAATAAGAATAAAAAAAAATTCATTTTAAATTAAAGTATAAAATTAAAAAAAAAAATCTAAAATTAATCTAAAATTAATTTTTAGATTATTTAATTAAAGATTCGATAACTTTACTTACGAGAAATTCTTCTTTTGGATCTAAAGATAAACCTAATATTGGTGCATCATGACCGGACAATTCTGTCGTTTCGAGTGTATCAATGTTTGTTACGTGGATTTTCATATCACTGAAAGTTATTTTTTTTTTATTTTGTTAGAATTATTAACAGAAAAATAAAAAAACATTCGGTTGAGTAATTTATTCTTTTTTTATTTTGTTAGAATTATTTACAGAAAAATAAGAAAACATTCGGACAATTCATTTATTTTTTTATCATTTCTCCAAAGTTTCGAAATGAGAAAAAATAAATAAATTGTCCGAATGTCTTCGTTTTATTAACCATTTAAAATTATTTCTCGGATGTAAAAGATTAATTAATAGGTAGCAAATGTTAGGCGAGGAACTTGGTATTAAATTTATTATTATTATGCAAATTACAAAATTTTTTATTTTCAAATATGAATTTTTGAATAATTTCAGATTCAAACTTTAAAAATAATTTAATTATTAACTAACTAGCCAAACTATCCGCGCGCAAGCGCGCGGGAATGTTGTATGGGGCTGCTTATTTTAAACAATTTAAAAAATTTTAAAGAAATAATTATTATAACCTAACAAAGAGATTTAACTAACTAAAATTCAAATAATTTCACTCAATGGTCTCAATTTAAATAGAATTTACATTACTAGACTTAAACTATGGCTAGAACAATTACAATTAGTATCTGGGTCATCTTTTGCATTGCTTATTTTATAAAGCCATTTTAAATTAAATACTTTTTAAAGAAATAATAATTATTACACACTGAAAAAAGTTTTACTTGAAATAGCGATAAGTTTCTCTAGAATAACGAAAGTATTAATTGAAGCACTGAACAATTTCGCTACTAAAGTGAAATCTGTAGTTCAACCAGCTAAATATTTTTTGCCGTGCATAACGAAAAAAGAATTAAATTAACATCAGATTTTCTACATTCAAAAAAAACGAATTCAAATAGAAATTAATCATTTTACAACTTAACCAAATTCACCCCAGATATCACTGAATTCGATAATTTAGAAGAAAGTCAGACAAAAGCAGGGTTCCTACAGAATCTGGAAATCAGGGAAATCATGGAAAAGGCCTGGAATTTTTAAAAGTTTCTAAATTTTTTCAGTTTTCCATTTTTTCTCTTGAATAAAAATTCAAATAATAATAAAGCTAAATCCCATAAAAGAGAGGAAAAAATGTTGAATTTTAAGAAAAACGGATTTTTGAAATTTTTCGAATTTTCGATAATTTTAGATTTTTTACCAAAGAGTCGAGACAATTTAATAAGTAAAGTATTTTCCAAAAGCACAAAAATAATGAAGCTAAATCCCATAAAAGAGAAGAAAAAATGTTAAATTTTAAGAAAATCGGATTTTTGAAATTTTTTGGATTTTTGATAATTTTAGATTTTTTACCAAAGAGTCGAGACAATTTAATAAGTAAAGTATTTTCCAAAAGCACAAAAATAATGAAGCTAAATTCCATAAAAGAGAAGAAAAAATGTTGAATTTTAAGAAAATCGGATTTTTGAAATTTTTCGAATTTTTGATAATTTTAGATTTTTTACCAAAGAGTCGAGACAATTTAATAAGTAAAGTATTTTCCAAAAGCACAAAAATAATGAAGCTTAATCCCATAAAAGAGAGGAAAAAATGTTGAATTTTAAGAAAATCGGATTTTTGAATTTTTTCGAATTTTTGATAATTTTAGATTTTTTACCAAAGAGTCGAGACAATTTAATAAGTAAAGTATTTTCCAAAAGCACAAAAATAATGAAGCTTAATCCCATAAAAGAGAGGAAAAAATGTTGAATTTTAAGAAAATCGGATTTTTGAATTTTTTCGAATTTTTGATAATTTTAGATTTTTTACCAAAGAGTCGAGACAATTTAATAAGTAAAGTATTTTCCACCTTAAAAGGTTTGACATTAAAAAATATATAAAAAATGCCAATACTTAACCCACAAAATTTAATTTTCAAAACAAACAAATGAATGCAGATAATTTGCTAACGGAAAGGAAACTTACGATTATTATAATGTATTTACTAATTTATTGTTCTTGTTTATTAATATAAAAAATTTTAATAAAATTCTTCGCAAGAATTTAATTATTTTTATAAATAATAACAATCTTCGTAAGAATTCAATTATTTTTAAAAGCAGACAAATTTTTTGCAAAAGTTCAATTACTTTTAAACAAAATTTTAATAACATTTCACGAACGAATACAATTATTTTCCATAATTTTAATAAATCCTTTGAAACAATTCAATTATTTTTTTAAATAGTTTTTTCTTTTCAAAAAATCAATTATATTCAAAACAATTTGACGAAAGAATTCAATTTTTTTCTTAATTCTTTATAAAAACTTTCAATAGAATTCAATTATTTTCTAAAAGTTTAATAAAATTCAATAATTAAATGTTTAATTTCAATTATTAACAAACACGATTATTTTAAAATAATAAAATAATTTGAAAAAAATTGTTCATAAAATTCAATTATTTTCATAATTTTTAATTAAAATTATTCAAGAAACTCAATTATTTTTTAGAATAATAAAATTCTTCGCAAGAATTAAAATATTTTCATAATTATAAATAAAATTCTACAAAAAAATTCAATTATTTTCATAAATAATAAAATGTTTCGGAGGAATTCAATTATTTTCAATACAATTTTATCAAAATTTCTCGAAAGAATACAATTATTTTTAAAAATATTATTTAAATTCAATTATTTTCAACAATTCTGATATAAAATTCTTCAAAAAAATTCAATTATTTTTATAAATTGTAAAATTCTTTGCAAAAATTCAATTATTTTCGAAATTTTCAGTAAAAATTATTTTAAAAAATTCCTTTATTTCTAAGAAAATTGAAATAAATTCTTTTAAAGAATTTTAATAAAAATCTTTCCAAGAATTAATTATTTTCAATTCAATTTTAATTACATTTTCCCGAAAGAATTAAATTATTGAAAAAAATGTTGATAAAATTCTTGAAATTTTTTTATAAATGCTTTACAAGAATTCAAAACAAAAAATGCAAACAGCAACTAACTTCAAACTGCGAACAGATTACCGGAATACAACGATTATTATTTATTTATTTAATTTAAGCCATAAGCCAGAAAAATAAAAATTTTTGCTAAAAATTTAATAAAACAAAACAAAAAATGAAATCAAAATAAATAAAATTTGAATGATTTACCATGCACCGGATGCAATAAGTTTACTCTTTTTAGTTGTAGTTAAAGCTGAAATAGTTGCTCCGAATCTCGTGACGATTCCTTCTTTTTCAAGATCAGGATAGCTGAGTATTTGAACTGTATTGTTGTCATTACCTACGTAGATTTTACCATTCTAAAAACAAATGAATTTGTTATTTTTGAACTGTTTGGCAATTATTTTGATTATTGTACTCTTCATTTTTTTTACTTTTGAAATAACAGTTGTCGATTGTTCTGAGACACAACTTGTCGCTGGATCATCGTCCGTTAAATTCAACCAGAATCTAACATCTCCATCAGAACCACATGTAATGAGGCCACCTCTAAAATTGAGAAAAACATAAAGAAAAATTTAAAAAATTGAAAAACTTAAAAAAAAACTATAATTAGAATAATTTTCGAGAAAATAATAAGATTAAATTATTAGACTTTAATTCAGAAAATAAAATAATCTTTAAGATAATTACTTTTGAAACTAATTAAATTATTAATATTGATAATCATAATAATCATAACAATACTAATAATTATTATAATAATAACAATATTAATAATCAATCTAATGATAATATAATAATTAATTACTATTAAAATTGTAAATAATTATAATTTTAGAAAATTATGTAAATTAATAATAAATTATTATTTATAAATTAATAAAAATATTCAGCAATATATTTAAAATAATATATTTATAATAATATATATATAATATATTATATTAAAAATGTTAGGAATTCGATTTAAAGAGCTACACTGTAAAAAAAGGTCTGAATTTTACTGTTTGAAACAGTATAATTACATGATTCTGTAAGAATTATTTTACAAAATTATGTGATCTCACTGCACTTAATATGGCAATATTAATAGTTTTGAGGTTAGAAATACAAGATTCTGTAAGTTTACAGTTGTGCGAAGAGCGATTTTAAAATTGCACTGTAAAATTCTATCCGAATGTAAATTCACTCTACTGAGCAATGGTTTTTTTCCTCGCATACGGGGTATGTAAATTTCATTTGGAATAGGAATTTACAATGGAATTTTAAAATCGCTCTTCGCAGAACTGTAATGTTAACCTATTGGATCACGCGAAAATACAGAAAAAATGTAAAAATGACACACACAGCATAGGTTTTTTTCCTCGCATACGCAGCCAGTAAAATTACAGAAATTTTTTTTACAGTGTATGAAAGCTAACCAAAAAATTAAACATACTTTTCTCCGGAAAAATAACAGACATCCGTGTGGCCTTCCGGATGCGCATATCGCATAGGTTTTTTATTCAACGACATTCTTTCACAATAATACTAAATTTTATAAAAAAATAATTATTTACATATAAATATTTAATAAAAATTGAGGACGTATATTACACTTCACAAGCGGAATTAAAATGACATTTTGGCGGGTAAACACATGGTAAACAATAAACAGGGTTCGGTAGCTTAAATTTTCAGAAAATTTCGGGCTTTCCGATGTAAACCGAGCTTTAAATTCATGAATTGTTGTCATCGTTTCCCAACCTTGCTGTCAACAATAAACATCGTGTTTTTGTAATTGAAAATTCAATGAATGCAAGTTAATTTAGTGGAATTATGAGAGTTTAATTGCAAATATGTTGCAGGTTAGTTTAGTAATTAAGAATTTAATTTATAAACTAGTTTTTCTAAAATTTAATCCGTATTTATTTGCTTACTTGTATAGCAGAAATATCAACCGACTGACTAAGCATAACCTAAAAAATATTTGATGTGTTCTTGAGTTTTCCTGATTTTCTTATTTTTTGGAAAAAAGGAGACAGTTGCCAATAAAAATGTATTCTATTTGTAAAAATACACATCCTGCGACCGGCGTGGAACATGCGATAACGTGCAATTTTTTTAATCGTTCGGAAAAATGTTTGGTTGTAGCCGGAGCAAATATTATACGAGTTTTTCGATTAATTCCAGACATCGACAGTACAAAGAGAGAAAAATACACAGGTAGATAATTTTTCCTATTAATTTAAGTAAATAAGTAAATAAATAAGTTTTAAGTAAATAAATAAGTCATTTATTAACTTGTTGTTTTTAATAATTAGAAAAATTCATTAACTTGCCGTTTATTGGACTATGATCATGAATTAAATTTTATATTTCAATTTCCAGATGCACGACCACCAAAAATGAAACTAGAATGTTTGGGACAATTTACACTTCATGGAAATGTAATGTCTATACAATCAGTTCGTCTAATGGGATCGTCGAGAGATTCTCTTCTTCTAGGTTTTCGCGATGCTAAACTTTCAGTTGTGGAATATGATTTAGAAACACATGATTTACGATCCGTTTCTTTGCATTACTTTGAGGAAGATGAAATGCAGGTATAAAAACATTTTTTACAAATTCTGTAATGAAATTCTTCGCAGAAATTCAATTATGTTCAAAAAATCTTTTTAAATTCTGGTCAAAATTTCAATTATTTTTAAAAATAATTAAATTCTTCTCCGAAATTCAACTATTTTCAAAGATTTGTAATAAAATTCTTGACAAAATTTCAATTATTTTTCAAAATTTTCCTCAATCGAATGATTTTTAATATCTACTATTTTAATAAAATTTTCCAAAAGAATTTTATATTTTTGTCAGTAATTTTTCATTTTTGATCCATAAAGTTCGTATTTTTAAATACTTTCACTGGTTCGAGTCCTGCACAGAATGAAAATTTGTAAAAGAATTGCATTTTTAGGATGGATGGACAAATCATCATCATGTTCCAATAGTGAGAGTCGATCCAGAAGGTAGATGTGCAGTTATGTTAATTTATGGACGAAAATTAGTTGTTTTACCATTTCGTAAAGATCCAACTTTGGACGATGCCGAAGCTGAGATTACGAGATCCAGTAAGGCTCCCATTCTATCTTCTTACATGATTATTCTGAAGAATTTAGAAGAAAAAATGGATAATATCATTGATCTTCAGTTTCTTTACGGATATTACGAACCTACTTTATTAATTTTATACGAACCAGTTCGAACATTCTCCGGGTGAGTAGAAAATTCAGTTAAACTGTTCATAATTTAAATAAATTAGTTACTATAAAAATATAAGGCAAATATTAATAATAATAATAATAATAATAATAAAAATAATTATTCGATTATTCAGACGTATTGCAGTGAGACAAGACACTTGTGCAATGGTCGCAATATCATTAAATATTCAGCAGAAAGTTCATCCCATTATTTGGTCAGTGTCAAATTTACCATTTGATTGTTGTCAAGCAGTGCCTGTGAAAAAACCTCTTGGCGGAACATTAATAATGGCTGTAAATTCTTTAATTTATTTAAATCAAAGTATACCGCCCTATGGAATTTCAGTGAATAGTATAGCGGACACGAGTACAAATTTTCCCCTCAGTATGTAATTATTCTTTCTATTCGTAAAATGAGAGTTTTTAGCTAAATTGTAAAAAATATTTCAGTTTTATTTTATTTATATTCTATTGTTTTTTTACAGAACCACAAGAAGGAGTGAAAATAAGTTTAGAAGGAGCGCAAGTTGCCTTTATATCTACCGATCGATTGGTGATGTCTTTAAAAAGCGGTGAATTGTACGTTTTGTCACTTTTTGCTGATAGTATGCGATCTGTGCGAGGTTTTCATTTCGATAAAGCAGCCGCTAGTGTTTTAACTTCCTGTGTAAGTAGATTATGCATTTTATCTTTTTTGTTTTTAATTTAATTTACTATTAAATTTAATTTAATTTAATTCTGTATTTGCAAAATAAAATAGGTTTGTCTGTGTGAAGAAAATTACCTGTTTCTTGGCTCTCGCTTGGGAAATTCATTGCTCTTGAAATTCACCGAAAAGGAAAATGAGAATACATCGAGTAATCGTAATTCGGATTTATTCTTTACGGACAACACTGGCGAGACGCCGGCAAAAAAAGTGAAACAGGATTTCTTGGGCGATTGGATGGCGTCCGATGTCTTGGATATTAAAGATCCTGAAGAATTGGAAGTGTATGGAAATGAGACGCAAACGTCTATTCAAATCACGTCCTACAGTTTTGAAGTTGGTTGATTTTTATTATTTTTCCCTTACACTTTGTAATAAAATGTTGAAAAAAAAATTTCTCATTATGTTACGAATATAAAAAGTGTAAATAAATGTTTTTTACTTTTTATAAATTAAGGTATTAAAAGGAGAATTTTAATTTTTTCAGGTGTGTGACAGTTTATTAAATATCGGCCCCTGTGGGAATATTTCAATGGGTGAACCGGCATTTTTATCGGAAGAATTTTCTCACACCCAGGAACCGGATGTCGAATTGGTTACAACATCGGGTTACGGAAAAAACGGTGCACTTTGCGTTTTGCAAAGATCTATTCGTCCTCAGGTAATTATATTTTAAAGTTATTCGATAATTTCTAACGTATGGTAAAGTATACGTAATAATAATTTAATTACAATTAACGAAAAAATGAGTTGCAAAATGTTAAAAATATAGTTTTTATTACCATATTTATAAGTAAAAATATTATTTCAGGTTGTCACTACATTTGAACTTCCTGGCTGTGAAGACATGTGGACAGTTATCGGTGCGGTGAACGAGGATCTTGAAAAATCAGAAACAGACGGAGTACATGCATTTTTAATTTTGAGTCACGAAGATTCGACAATGGTAATTTATTTATTTACCACTAATGAATTTTTCTGATATTCATTTTGTTCTTTTCTGCTTTTTCTTCTTCTCCTTCAACATTTTTCTTAACTATCAAATCAGTAATAACTAATATAATAAAACTCGGAGTGATCGTTAATAATAAAAAAATAATATAATTAATAATAAAATTATGAAAATTAATATGTATTTACGGAATTATTAATTAATAATAACACAAGGGATAAATGTTTTCTTTTCAGATTCTTCGAACTGGACAGGAAATTAATGAGGTTGATCAAAGTGGATTTAGTACTCAAGGAACAACTGTTTTTGCTGGTAATTTGGGAGGAAACAAGTACATTATTCAAGTTACACAAAATGGTGTACGTTTGATGATTGGCACAGAGCAGGTAAGAAACCATTTTTTCTTTTCTGCAAAAAATAAATATAAAAATATAAATATAAGATTAAATAATCTTTATAAATAGCAAAATTTTTCATCCAAAATTAAATTATTTTTAATAATTTAAATGACATTCTTTGAAAAATTTAAATCGTTCTCAAAAGTTTTTCGCAATTCAATGATTTTTAATATTTACTACTTTCATAAAATTTACCACAAAATTCATTTATTAAAAAAAATTTTTTTATACAATTCTACGAAAACATTCAATTATTTTCATCGCAGAATTTCGAAATTATTTTTATTTCAATTTTACATAAATTTCTCGAAAAATGCAATTATTCTTAAAAATTTTATTAAAACTCGACGAAAGAATTCAATTTTAAGAAACATTTAATTATTCAATAAAATAATAAAATTTGTTGCAATAATTCAATTATTTTAAGGAATTTTTATAAAATTCTTTTCAAAAATTTAATTATTTTCATGAATATCAAAATTTATCACAAGAATTTAATTCTTTTGAACAGTAATAAAAAACTTTCCAAAAATTTTATTATTATTATTATTATTATTTATTCAATACACGGGTTAACAATTTTAATGAATTTCTTATCAAAATTTCAATTATTTAAACAAAATTTAATAAAATTCTTCGCATGAATGCAATTACTTTCATAAATTATTATTTAAATTTTTATCATGAATTTAATTATTTTTAAAAATTCTAATAGCATTCTTAATATTCTTAGAAGTTATTGAATTTCAAAAGGTTTGAATTTTTAAATTTTTGAAAATCTTATTTTCTATGGAAAAATAATAATAATTAAATATTTATATAAAAACGAAGTTATTGATGTTTTCGAATAATTTCACATTTAAAGAAATTCGTAAATAAATGTAATAGAATATTTTTTTGAGTATCTATAGTCATTTTTTGAGTGAATCAGAATATTTTTTAGGGTCTGGGGAAAAATCAAAATTTTGTCTGGAATTCAGGGAAAAACATAATTAAATTTTTGTGGTAACCTTGAAATATATAGTAAATTAATAAATAAATAATAAAAATAAATACTAAATTAGTAATTAAAATTACAGATTCAACATATGCCGATGGATTTTGGCTGTCCTATTGTATACGCAAGTTGCGCAGATCCTTATGTTGTTTTACTTACCGAAGATGGACAAGTAATTTTATTAACACTTAAGGAACAGGTTGCAAGAGGGTCGGCACGATTACATGCTCAATCTGCTGATTTATTATACGTAAGAAAAGTTATTCAATTTAGGAAGAAAGAGTATTTTAATTTAAACACTTTTTCTTCTTTATAAATTATGTATTTATTATATTTAGTTGAATTGTTTAAATTATTGAATTATTCAAAATCAAATCGTTTTTTCGATTTTTGAAAACTATGCAAAAGGTGAAAAAAACCTCGTTCACTTTTTTTAGTTAATTAAAGATTACCTGATTAAAATCAATTATATAAACATCTCGTCAATGAAATAAAAAATTAGTAAACAAAAATCGAAAAGAAGATTTTATTAAATATTTGTGAAAAGAAAAAAAATTCAACTACTTCAATAACTATTATTAAAAATAAATTGAGTTTAGTCGTATTTAGAAGAAAAAAAATTTATTGTAAATTTTTGTAAATTATATTTCTTTGAAAATTATATTTTAGCGACCACAAATAGAAGCAATTTGTGCGTACAGAGACGTGAGTGGTCTTTTCACGACAATTATAGCTGAAGATAATGACGAAGATTCGTCGGAAAAAGATAAACGTGTCGATGAGCCCACAATGGTGGAAACAATTGATAATGAGGATGATTTACTTTATGGTGATGTACCTGCTTTCCAGATGCCAATAGTTACACAACCTAAAACAACTGAAGCAACTTCTAAAAAAGCACCATGGTATTCTATAATTTTTAATTATTTTACAAATTAAATTGTTTTATAAATTTAATTTGTTATCCATTCAATTTTATAAATTAATTAAATTTTTTATTTTTAAATATTAATACTTTTTTAGTTATTTATTGTTTTAATAATTTTTTGTATTTTTTGTATTGTTTAATAAATTTAATCGTTTTAATTATTTGAAATCATGAATGTTTTTAATTTATGTTTTTTTAGGTGGCAGAAATTTCTTCAGGAACTTAAACCTACTTATTGGTTACTTGTATATAGAGATAGTGGAACTTTGGAAATTTATTCTCTACCAGATTTACGTTTATCGTATTTAATAAAAAATTTCGGTTTTGGACAGCAAGTTCTGCACGATAGTATGGAATCGACTACAGTTACACCAGCGCATGTTAATGAGATTCCCAATCCGCAAATTCAGGTAAACTGTCTACGTTTATATAAAATTATTGTGAAATTTTGTTTGCAAAAAATTAAATATAGTTTTGGAAATAATAATTTTCGTTTAATGAAATAATAATTAATTTTCTTTTGTCAATAGGTTCGAGAGATTTTAATGGTCGCTTTAGGTCATCACGGAAATAGGCCAATGCTTCTACTGCGATTAGATAATGAATTGCAAATCTATCAAGTTTATAAGTATCCTAAGGGTTACTTAAAATTGAGATTCAAGAAATTGGATCATGGCATTATACCAGGAAGTTTAAAGTAATTCTTAATTTTGTTTTTGTTTCATTTGATTTTTTATTTATAGGCAACTTTTTATTTGATATAAATTAATTACTACAATTAATAATAAGTAATTAATTTTTAATTGTAATAATAATGATTCTATCACTCGGTTGTGAAATTAATTTCTTAATTGTGCTGTTTTCTGTAACAAGGTCGAAATTCAAAGAGGAAGAAACGATGCAAGATGACAGACGCGTTTCCGTGATGCGTTATTTCAGTAACATTGCTGGTTACAATGGGGTTTTTATCAGCGGAGATTATCCTCACTGGATATTCCTGACAGGTCGCGGGGAATTGCGAGCCCATCCAATGACAATCGATGGACCAATTAAATCTTTTGCTCCGTTTAACAATGTTAATTGTCCCCAAGGATTTTTGTATTTCAACAGAAAGGTAATTTGTCCATTTTTTCATTTTGATAAATAAAATTTTTAATGTAATTTTTTAAAAAATTATGAAATACATTTTTTTTGTAGGAGGAATTGCGAATTTGTGTTCTACCAACTCATCTCTCGTACGATGCGCCTTGGCCTGTGAGAAAAGTTCCTTTACGATGTACTCCACATTTTGTCACCTATCATCTTGAGAGTAAAACTTATTGTGTAATAACAAGCACAGCTGAACCTTTAAAAAGTTATTACAGATTTAATGGAGAAGACAAGGTGAGAATTGAATTTTTTTGTCTTGTTTCTTTTGTTTTTTTACTTCTTTTACATATTAAAATAAATAGAAAATAGAAAGTTTATTTTACAAATATTCTTAATATTTAAAGAAATAAATTTTGAAAATTAACAATAATCATTAAACTTGTTTAGGAATTCACAGAGGAAGAACGTTCGGATCGATTTCCATTTCCAATTCAAGAGCAATTTTGTATTGTACTATTTTCACCGGTATCGTGGGAAACAATTCCAAATACGAAAATTGAATTGGACCAGTGGGAGCATGTTACTTGTTTGAAAAATGTCTCGTTAGCCTACGAGGGAACAAGGTCTGGTCTCAAGGGTTATATTGTACTTGGAACAAATTACAATTATGGAGAAGACATCACCAGCAGAGGCCGGGTAATAAACGAAACTTTTCATTCTGTTTGAAAGAATCATTATTCAGTCGAAAATTAATAAAATTTATTAATCGGAATGTTAATTAAACTAATTAGTCGAAAAATTAAAATTTATTAATCGGAAAGTTAATCAAATTAATTAATCGAAAAATTAATAAAATTAATCAATTAAAATTGAAGTTTGAATTAAAAGAATTTTTTGTATTTAATTTAGAAAATAATTTGAATGAATTTTAATTTAATTTAGTTAGTAAATAAAATTAATAATTGTTGTTAATGGAAATTTTCTATTTACAGATACTTATTTTCGACATCATTGAGGTTGTCCCAGAGCCAGGCCAACCATTGACAAAAAATCGATTTAAGCAAATTTATGCGAAAGAACAAAAAGGACCGATTACTGCTATCACTCAAGTCTCAGGCTTTTTGGTGTCCGCTGTCGGACAAAAGGTAAAGTCGATAAATTTAATTTATTTAAATTTCATTTGTAATTTTATTAAAAATTACTAAATAGGATTAATTTCCTATTTTATTAATTTCTTATTTTATGTAGTGTTTTATTAATACTAAATAAAATAGGAAATTAATAAAAATAATAAAATAATAATAAAATAAATATGAATTTTTTTTTTACTTTCAGATTTACATTTGGCAATTGAAAGACAATGATCTCGTGGGCGTTGCATTTATAGACACGCAAATTTACATTCATCAAATGTTGAGTATTAAGAGTTTAATTTTGATTGCGGACGTATACAAATCAATAAGTTTACTGAGGTTTCAAGAAGAGTATCGAACTCTTTCACTCGTGAGTCGAGTGAGTAGAAAATACTTTTCCATTTCTTTTTTTGTTGGGAATAAATTTAAGAATATTCCTTAAATCTTCTTTTCTTCTCTTTTTTCCAGGATTTTCGACCTGCGGAAGTTTTCACGATAGAATATTTAATTGATAATAATAATTTGGGATTCCTCGTCGCCGATGGTGAAAGTAATTTTGCCCTATTCATGTATCAACCTGAATCGAGGGAGAGTTTAGGTGGACAGAAATTAATTCGTAAAGCTGATTTCCATTTGGGTCAGAAGGTGAATTCGTTTTTCCGCATTAAATGTAAAAATGTCGATGTCGCTAATAATAGAAAACAAATAGTTGGCGCGGATAAGAGGCATATTACTATGTATGGTAAGTTGTGAAATTTAATTGTCACCATTAAATATTTATAAAGTTAATTAAATAATTGTTAAATTGTGATAAACGAATTGATTGAAAATTAGGTTTGTAATTTTTTTTTAGAATGATGACACTTTTTTTTGTAATTATTTGTATTTTTTTTATATAATTTTTTACTTTGAATTTGAAATATATTTGAATATAATTTTATAGAATGAAATAAGAATTATAAATAAAATGTATACAAAAAATATATATAATAAATAAATGAAATAAATAAAATAAATAAATATATAAAAAAATGTGTAAGAACATATTTTAATAAAATTATTGTTTATTAAATTTTTATTATAATTTTTATTTCAGCAACATTAGATGGAGGCCTCGGTTATATTCTTCCAGTTCCTGAGAAAACATACAGGAGATTGCTTATGTTGCAAAATGTATTATTACAGCACATTTGTCATATCGCTGGTCTAAATCCAAAAGCTTTTCGGTAATTTACCATTTTATTATTAAATTTTCAATTAAATTAATTTTATTTACGTTTTATTTTGCTTTAAGTAAATTAAATAGTAAAAATAATTTCTCTTTACTGCTGACAATTTTAAATAGTTTAAAAATAGTTTTCAAAATTATTATTTTTATTTATGCCAAATTTATTTATTTGACATAAATAATAATAAAAATTATTTATTCAATAATTATTAAGTCATAATATTCATGATTTTAAAAAAAGTAATTCCTTACTTTTAAGAATAATTTTTTAATGCACAAATTCAAAATTACATTTTTTTCTAGAACATACAAAAGTTTTGTGCGACTACAAGGAAATCCAGCAAGAGGCGTAATTGATGGTGATCTAATTTGGAAATATCTGAATCTACCGTTTCATGAAAAATCAGAGGTAGCGAAAAAAATAGGAACGCGAATCCCAGAAATCATAGAAGATATAGAAGAAATAAATCGATTGACAGCACATTTTTAATTGTTTCGCATTTTCAAAAAGGAAAACAAATTTAATTAACGAAGAAGTGCCTCTATTATGATTTGAAATTCTAATTATAATTAATTAGTTATATTCATTTAACTGTTTTGCTTTTTCTAAAAGAAGAAATAATTAAATTTAATTACATAAGGCACCTATATTCATTCCTGTTTTGACGTAATATATATTTAAAAAAAACAATGTTTCGCGAAAATCATTTATTTTTGTGTAATAAATTTTTCATTATTTTATAGATTTTTTTTTTGTAAAGAGTGAATGAAATTGAGAAAATGAGAGACAATGTGATGTAAATTTATTAATATAACATTAAATATAAAATTAAAAATTAAGTTTTTTAATTCGAATTGAGTTTTGATGATTTATTTAAACATTCTTATTGCCGAGAAAAGGAAATCTGTTCTTTTTAAAGCAAAAAATTTTTTAAAATTGTTTAATTAAAATTAAAAACAAATGGAACAATAATAGTATAATTTGTTCATTATCAAAGAAACAAAACTTTATTTTGAAATCTTTAAATTCAATTTATAATAATAGTATAATAATAAATGTTACAAAATTTAAATAAATAAATCTTTCACAAGAAGCAAAAGAAAATTATCGAAACGATTTCTTGTTAGAAAATTAAGCAGGATATTTCTGCTTCAGCAAAATAGATATTTCGTAGTGTTTTTTTTCAGTTTCATTATCAATATATACTGTACATATTTACAAGATAATAGAAAATTTGATATCCACATTCCCATCTCAAATTCATTATGAAAATAACAAACAATATTTTTTTTGACATAACTAGAAATTTGAGAAGGAACGTTTCTTAGATGATTTCTTTAACATTTTCTTTTGAGATTTAATACAAAGATTTTTAAGAAAAGTCACATGTTTCCTTTGTAACGTAGTTTGAGTAATTAAATCTCCAATTTTAATTGCTGCTTTCGTGACCTTTGGTTCATTTATTTGAAGAGCTTCATTCATATAGATAGTCGCTTCCTTTTTTAATTTACGGAATTTTTTGGAATTTTTGTTCAATTTTTTATTACTTTTTCCAGAAATATTAAGTTGATATTGTGGACTATTTTGTACATTTGTTGGATAGTATTTAACGTTTCGCTCTGTAGTGGGAGTTATGAAATTACTTGTACTCGTTGATATTGGTATAAAATCAGCATCAGGAAAAGTGAACACATTTCGTTTTTGTTGGAAATTATTCGGTGACATTGTCATATCAAAGTCCACTAATGAAGGCAATTTATTTGGTGATGAATTTTCTTCGATCGATTCATTATTTTCGTGTTCTACAATTTCTACGGCACTTTCTTGATTTTCATTGAAGACTATATCATTTAGTGAAACATTTACATCCATTGCTTTCAAGGTGAAATATTTATTTAACATTTGTACTAAATTCGTTGGTAAACAATCAGAAAATATTAAATGATAATAGTAATAAAGAGAAATGTAACTGTTTAATTTTACTCTTTTTGATAAACTCACTAAATTTAGAGCAATTTCCATTTTTGAAAAGGCTTTCTTCTCGACACCACAATCGAGTTTATAGAGCATTGTGATAAGTAAATTTCTTATCGATATCATTTCTTTCTTCTTCTTATTGAATTCGGGTTTTTTAGATTGATCTTGATTTTCCTTTAACCACAATGACGTTTCTTTCAAATAATTAAAACACTCTTCAACACTTTTCGATTCCTCATTAAATTTATCCAATCTCGCTTGAAATATCTTGGCTATTATCGTTTTATCTCTTGGAATTTTTCTCATAATTTGTTTTTTAGTCTTTGGTGATTCTAACCAGAAATTGATGATTTTTTTAAATACGTTCCGATCGGAAAATAATTCATAAAACGTTACGGACAATATTATTTTTGAATCTTGAGTAACGGTAATGTAAATATCGCATTTTAAATATTTACTTAAATTTTTCAAAAAAGCAAAAGAAGTTCGACCAGCGATTAATTCCTCGACATTTGCATTTTTTATATCATTCAAACACATTTGTTTTTTATGTTCGCGATTAAATTCTTCGGGTGTTAAATGAATTTTCGGAGGATGACTGTATTCACATTCGAAAATTAGTTTTTCTGTGTCCAAATTTGGCTTCCTCAGCGATACAAAATTGCTTTTTATTAATATATTTGAATTTTTAATTGGTGTACCTGATGTTCTAATTTTATTAGAATTTTTACTTGGCGTATTGTTGACACTTTCTCCGTTTTCTAAAGTCTCGTTGATCTCCGTCAATGATTGGGATGATGTTGCAGATTCGTCTAAATTTATAACTTGAACACTGGTCATTGAATTTTCAGCAACTTTTTTATAATTCTGTACGTGAGCAGGAGTGGGATAATGTGGTGTCCAACGATATTTGGGACAGTTGTAGAACTCGTGACCCCATTTTGTGCAATTGCAACAAATTAAAAGATGCGATGGTTTCATGACTTCTTTACTATTCGTCGGCGTCTTGTGCTCCGAATGATTTGTCTGAAATCAAATTTCTATTTTAGTAGAGGAATTCAAATAAAAATAATCATAATTAACATAAATGTTGAAATTTAAATTAATTGCTTAATCAGGGTTGCAGCAAAAATTTGATTTTCTTTTCCCTGATTTCCAGACAGAATTTTTCCCTTTTTTCCTGATTCTAAAGAATATTCTGATTCACTCTAAAAATAATTAAATACTTAAGCAAATGTTTCTAATCTACTTATTTATGAATATTTACAAATTTCAAAAATATTCAAAATAATTTCTTTTTACATAAATATTTTATCATTATTCTTATTATTCCAAAAGATTTAAGATTTTCAAAACAAGAATTAAAGAGTTTTGAAATCTAATAATTTACATTAATTGCCACTGCACTGCGACTTCTCCAAAATTATTTTCAATATTTTAATTCAATTATTTTTTAGAATTTTTAACTAAGATACTATTATAAATCAATCATTTTTAATAATTTCTCTGTAAAATTACATTCAAGATTTCATTTAAATTATTTTCTAGAATTTTTAACTAAAATTCTTTAAAAAATCAATTATTTTTTATAATTTGTTTCCAAAATTATATTCAGTATATTTCAATTCAATTATTTTCAAGAATTTTTAACTAAAATTCTTTTTTAAATTAATTACTATAAATAATAATAATTTTTTTCCAAAATTATCATAAAAATTCACAATTTAATTATTTTTCAAAATTTTTAACTGAAATTCTTTGAAAAATCAATTATTTTTATTAATTTTTTTCCAAAAATTATTATCAAGAGTTTAATTAAATTATTTTCAAGAATTTTTAACTACAATTCTTTTCTAAATCAATTATTTTTAATCATTTTCTTCAAAAATTATTTTAAAGATCTAACTTCAATTATTTTCTAGAATTTTTAACTAAAATTCTTTTTTAAATTAATTATTTTTAATAATATTTCTCTAAAACTACATTCAAAATTTGCATTCAATTATTTTCTAGAATTTTTAACTGAAATTGTTTATTAAATCAATTATTATTAATAATTTTTCTAATAAATTTTAATAAAAATTCCCAATTCAGTAATTTTTTTAAATTTATGACTTAAATTCTTAGAAAAATCAATTTTTTAAAATTATTGTTCTCCAAAAATTATTTTTAAGAGTTTAATTCAATTATTCTGCAGGAAAATTAATTAAGTACAATAATTTTAACTTAAATTCTTTGAAAAATTAATTATATATAAATTTTATTAATTAACCGTGTTAATTAATTTAATGTGACTTACAGTATGATGATATTGTCTCCACAGATCAGGGCAAGTTTCCTTTTTATGACCTTTAGAACGACAAAGTGAACAATTCAACTTTGTACAATATTCGCAAGTTTTTCTATACGAATGTTGTTTTCTGCCACACTAAAAATAAAAATTAAATTATAACAGTTGAATTTTCGATGTTTCAAAATTTTTTAATTTAAATGATAGCTGTAGTAAAAGGTAATTTTTTCAATTTTACATACCGTGAGACAAATTTTACTAGGGCAGCGAGTTTCATAATGTCCTTGAGAGCCACACATGTGACAAATTGGAGATTTCTTCGGCTCTGGACAATTGGCTCTGAAATGTCCCGATTGACGACATAAAGTACACTTCGCTTTATTAAGAAAATATCTCTGTTGTCTCAAACTCGGCTTCCAATCGTCATCCAAAATTGTCCAATGTTTCGGATTTTCTGTAAAATTGAAATAAAAACCATCATTTAAAAATCTTGATTATTTCTTAATTAGTTTCAATAAGTAACAATAAAAATTATTAAAATAATTATATTTAATATTTTGAAATATATTTATTATTTTGAAATATATTCAATATTTTGAAATATATTTAATATTTTCCAATAATTTTTGTTGATTCAATTTTAATAAGTAACTTACTTGACATTTTACTGCGAACTTCTTCAACACTGTAGTTCTCTCCACCCCAAGAATTATTATAAAAGGCTTTCACTGCACCAATCATTGGCTCAAAGAAATATTCTTCGTCGGTTTTTTCTCTGCTGCTTTTCATTTTTAGATTTTTGGAGATTTTCACTTTGGATGTACTTGGTTGTGGATTATCATTCAGTGGCTCAAAATATTCATTCCTAGTTTCTTGATCAGCTGTAGACTTTCCCATTTTTAGTCTTGATGGTGAAGAATTCGGAAGGGTACAATTTAATATTAAATCTTGAATTGCTTCATTATCTTCTTCATCTGCATATATTGAACTACTTTCATCGCCACTATCTACAGTAACGTAGGAACAATTTCTAGAACTGATATTTGAATTTGTCGTAAAACTAGATTGTGAATTACTGATATTTCTTTCTGAATTATCAGAATTGTAATTTTCAGATGTTGGATACGATGATTCGGAAATTTCTAGTGTTTTTGAATTTTCTTGAGAATTTTGCACTAAATTATCTTCAATTTCGGTTGTATTTTTATTTTCTAAACTTTGTTCGGAATCATCGGACTTGGATTGAAATTTCTTCTTGGCGGGCAAGCAATTTAAATCATAAATTCCATCATCAGAATCGGATGTGTTTGTATCGGAATCTTTTAAATTGACAAGTGGTGGAGTTGGTTTTGGGGGTATCGGTACCTCGAGGATCGATTCTTCAGAATCGGAACTTGAATTCAACCAAATTGGCAAAGTGCCTTTGTCCTCAATGCGTTTCTTTAACTTTCGAGTATCATTGATGGATGAATCGTCAGAGGATTCAGAAGAGGTGATATCGATTACATCCTCTTTCTCGGTTTCTTGCTTTTTTTCACCTACTTCAGTAGTATTTGTTTTAGATGATTTAGAATTTTTTCTCTTTTTACTTTTCGCTTTCTCGGCATCATCAATTTTTTTCTTCTCCTTCCAGCCTTTTGGAAAAAGAATATTCATTGCTCCATCGCTAATTATTGGAAGATTATCACCAGACCAGGATTTTTTGGAATTTAACACAACTGGATATATCTGAGAATCTGAATCAACGTCAATACTTTCACAATACTCGACACTCCTTTTTCTGGCACTCTCATAATCTTTGTCATTTTTAGATTTCCTTTTTGCAGATTTGGGAATTGTTGTTGAAGGAGTATTCATTTTTGCGGGAGAATTATACGTATTTTTTGGTGAATTATTTTGATTTTGTCCATTTTTTAAAATTGGCGAATTATTTTTTGAATCTTTCATTATTTCGAATTTATTTTTTGGAGATTTTTGTAATTTTTGTTGTGAATTTAATGATTTATTGACGATTTCATTAGAGATTCTACTTGGAGTATTGTCAATTGTTATATCGAAATTCTTTTGCTTTTCTAAATTTAGATTTTTGTCAGGGTCTTGTGATAATTGATGTTCATTCTTTTTGTTTACCTCTTCAGTAGTAATTAAATTTTGAATACCTTTTGAACTTGATTTTGATTGAGAAGTACTCGAAATACAGCAATGAGTTGCATTTTTAATATCCTGTATAGTTCTTATGGAATCGTCTTCGAATTTTTCGTTGGTTTCGTGAATTTCATTGGAGAAATAAATCTCAGCGTATAATCGTCCCTCTAAGTCACTATCGTTTTCATTTTCTTCGAAATCATATTGATTCCGAGAATCATCATTCTAAAAACAATATAAAAAAATTAATTAACGTTGAAGTATAAGAAAATATACGAACAAAATATAAGACAAGTGCTTATTAAATGATAGAAGTATAAAAATTAGAATTTTGCCTAACTACATATTCGAAATATTCTATAAATACAATTAATTGCAATTTAATTATTAATACATAATCAACTTGTGTAACAAAATTATTAAAATTATCCTAACCTCAAAATAGTTAAAGGTTCTCTGACTCCATGTGGAACAGTCAGTTAATAATCATTTAAAATTGATTCAGAAAAAAATAAATACTTTTAAGTGATATGAAATTATGTTCTATATTATTAATTATCAGTTATTTACTCACGTTGCAGTATTTTTTTGATTGAAAAGATAAATTGCTTACCGTCTTTAAAACTTCTTCCATTTTCCTTTGTTAACACAAAACTTAACTTTATATTTAAAAGTTAAACTTTCACAGTTCATTTGCATTCCGTTAAAGCTTCACTGCTTTTATGTTTTAATTATTTTCTTAAGTAATTGTAAAAACAAATTTTATTTAGAAGCACATGGTAGAAAACTGTAGAAGTCTATAGCAGAACGCTGTGTGAGCAGATAGTGGACGTAATTCACCCCCCCCACCAAAATCCATTAGTACTGACATAAAGCTCTGTTCACTGTCCAAATTACCATTGTGCTGTCAACTGCCCAACCTTGCAAAATGGAGTCTTTGAACGAAGGCAAGAAGGAAGGATCGCAACATTTTTCATTGAAATAACTTTTATAACTTCATGGTAAGCTTATTATGTTTATTATTAATAATTATCTACACGTAATGTGCACATATTAATTAGTTTTACAAACCAATTTGGCTTTATATACTTTCTATAATTAATAATTGCTGAGCGGAAAGAAGCATGAATTTGGAGCAAAGAAAATATTGTTTACAATTTTTAGAATTTTTAACAAAATTTAAGTGAAACAAAACAGTATGAAATGCATATTGCCATTGTTCATGAGAAGTAAGGTTAGGTAAGACAAGCTTTTTCTCTAATATAAATAAATTCTCGAAAGCTTTTTATCTTATTATGTATTAAAAATTAATCAATTTTCAAATTATTGACTATAATATTATTGACATTATTCAAAATCTTTTTTATATTTGACAAATTTTAGAAAACACTAGCGCCCCCTCTGTCATTTCTGGTTTTAGTTAATTGACATATCGATCGTAATTTCTTTCCTGATTTATCGTGCATAATCGTGAAAAATAATTAACAATTTAAATAATCGTATAGTAATAATATAAATATATTATTAGTTTTTGAAAAGTTGGATTAATTATTTTTGTAATGGATTCTTAAATCATTTCTGAAAAGTGAGGTTAGGTATGTAAAACTTTTATTAATATGAATTTTCTGTTTTCTTTAGACATAAATTAATTTCTTCAGTCTTATTATTATAAATAATATTTTTATATCATAATTTGAATTTTCATTTTTTAAATTTCGCGCATTAATAGTGCGCATGCGCGCGCGTACACTGTGCCACCTGTGTCATTTCCGCTTTGAGTTTAGTTTTCATTAACATGTCAATCGTTATTTCTTTCTTTTTTTATCGTTAATAATAGTGAAAAGTAGTCAAAAACTTAAATAATCACTAAGTTACAACGTAAATATACAGTATTTGACAAGTTTTTTTAAAAGTTTGATTTTTTATTTGGTGAAATGAATGGAATTTTTGACAATTTCTGGAAAGTGAGGTTAGGTACGTCATATTTTTTTATTATCGATTGTTTATAAAAGTTTTTCCTATTTCCTTAGGAATTAATTAATTCCTTAAAATTTATGATATAAATTACATTTTTCTATTATAATTAGTGATATTTGGAAAATTTCTGAAATTTTTTAAAAGATGAAATATTATTTATATAGTACAAAAACGCCACTTACATTTCGCAGCAACAATTGCTGTATATTTTAATTAAAATGTGAATAAATAATAGATAATATTGCAAAAATAATTTAATTTCATATGATATAATGAATATTTATGTATAATCTTAAAGAATTTGGATATTAATTGCATTTTACAATTTTCATTTTTCAAATTTCGCGCGTTGATAATGCGCATGCGCGTGCTGGCATTAGTGCCACCTGTGTCATTTCCGCTTTGAGTTTAGTTTTCATCAACATGTAAATCGAAATTTCTTTCTTATTTTATCGTTAATAATAATGAAAAGTAGTCAACATTTTAAACAATCACATATTTACAACATAAATATATAGTATTTGACAAGTTTTTTAAAAGTTTGATTCTTTATTTGTTGAAATGGATGAAATTTTTGCCAATTTCTGGAAAGTGAGGTTAGGTACGTCAAAGTTTTTTTTTATATCAATTGTTTGTCAAAGTTTTTCCTATTTTCTCAGGAATGAAGTAATTCCTATCAATTTATATTATAAATAATGTTATATAATATTCCGATATTATAATTAATAACATTTGGATTATAAGAAATCGTAAAAGTTGAAATACTTGTTATGCATAATAGTGCATAAATTTCTAAGTGGCAAATTTTTAATGTTTTTAATTAATATTATTGTCACTGCTTATGCACGAGAAAATGAATAATTAATCATTTGTATTATTTGACAATTCACGAAAATTGAGGTTATGTAGGAGACAAAATATTCCATAAATATTTCTATTATATTTTCTTGTATTTATAGAATTTATTCCTTATTTAAAATTTTTTTCGTTGTACTTTTTGTTTAAGTTTGCTAAGATTTCAGTATACTTTCGAATTAGCTGATGATTTATAAATATTTCGTTTAGTTTATGTAAAAATGATTAAGAGTATGAATAAGAGTAAAGATCGGATAGGAAGACTCTCTAATTTTTCTTTTGCAAGGGGAAAAAAGTTTTTGGTCCCGCATCTGCTTAAAACTTTCATGTATAAGATCAGAAAAGTTCGATTGGAAATTGTCGATATTTGTCGTGATTTGAAATTGCCGTGTCAGGCAAACTTTTTCGAATGGAGACAATTCTGGTAATATATTCAAATTTTTATTCTTAAAAAGTTATCTCTTACTATACATAACCTCAAAAATTGATTTTAGCGGAAAAAGTGAGTACTGTCATGATTAAGAATTAGTATAAATATTTCTCGTTAGTTTTTATTCATTAGGACGAAAAAAAGTACATAATTGTAAAATACTAAGAAGATTTAAAATTAAAAGAGAATATTTTTTTTAACATTTTTGAATATATTTTTAGAACATTTTTTCCGGTCAGAATTTATTTATTTTACTTCGTTAAGTAAAGTTTACAATTGATTTTTTTTTTTTAATAAAATGAATCAAAATCCTTTCGAGAAGGAAATTAATGATAATTTGCATTTTAACATGACTTTTTATGAGAGTCGCGATATGGAGCTTTCTACTAAAGGTCATTTAAAGTTAAATATGTGGTTACATACACTCCGATTACGTTCCTGTCACTAGCGAGAAGCTTTTATCGTTTTGCTAATGCATTTTTCCATGGCAATCTCATGCTTAATTAAAATAATCATCGGACTTTGGAACGAAATGTTGTGGCTTGTTGCTACATATTTACGTGCATTAATAATAAATTGTAAATGAGTGAATTGATCAATTTAAAAAACATTGTAACTGAAATTCGCTTACGAATCATTATTTCAATATCGCGCAGTTCGTTCTAACATTTCAATTTCCTGAAAATATTTTATTCTCAATAAATTTTTTTTACACAAAATAAAATTTCATTGAATTTTTTTTTTTTGTCTGAAGGAAGAAATAAAACACATTTTATTTTTCTCTTTTATGGAAAATATTTTAATATTTCACATGTATGAAAGTAATATAAATATTTTTCATTCAATAAAATTCATTCGCAAGCACATATAGTAAATTTTAATAGTAGTAATTTTAATAATAGTAATAAATTAAAAATAACATGACGTTGTTAACGTCTACTGTTCAATTCTTCGTTGGAATTTATAATTTATTCTTCCCGAAGAATTTTATTATTATAATTATTTCTTAGCAAAATTATTTTTAATGTCCCTTTCCATTTTGAGAGGATAATTATTTTTATTTTTATTATTTTTTACTTCCTCAGGGAAGTATTATTTTTAATAATAATTTTTTTTAAGGAAAGCACATATTAGGAGAAATACTGAATATTTGATTCAAAGTATTTATACCTACGCTGTGTAGGTTTTCTATGCGAGAACAATATAAAAAGCATATTTTGTTTGCTTAGAGAAATAAATATTTTTTTTTAAAAGAACTTTCGCGGGTTTTTGTGAACCGCAGGTCATAAATTAAATAGAAATTAATAAGATAATTCACGCACACGATAGGACTGAGTAATTCCTAAGAAAATACTGCTTCGGTTCGAGGCATCATTTCGCACTATTTATTTAAAGAAATATAAAATTGTTTCTTTATTTTTTGATTTTATGTATATGGATAGGGAAAGAGTATTTTGTTTGTTAAATTAAATTTGTGCGATATGACGACTCGATACAATTTTGAGTTTATTTCGATATTTCCCATAATTAACTGGGAGAACTTTTGACGTTCATTTTAATTCGTTATGAACTTTTTTCTTTTTTTTTTTTTTTGATAAAATAATTTAATGATTTACATACATCCACATGCCTCTACCACCATATTGGGTAATGTTTTTTGCGTTATGGTTTTATTCGAGTCAATATATAATAATTGAATGGGCGATAATTGAGTTGGCGAACAACAAGGGACTATTTCGTTTTTTCTCTGCAGAACGCTGAATCTCGTCAACAATTTCTGAAAAATGAAAGAAATAATTTTTTAAACTTCATTTTGAATTAATTTTTGGGTGAAATTAAATTTGAAACAATGGTTTTGATCAATGAACGTATAATTATTTGTATTGATCAAGACAATTTTTAGTTCTTATAAATAACTAAATCAGAGGAAAAAAAATTATAGACAGGGGAAAAAGGATCCTTTTTTCCCTGCCTACAACTTACTAGCAAACTTCGAGTTCATTGACAAATTTTTCCCCTTTTTTATGCCCTTAAATTAATAAAATCCCCTTAAACACCTAAAATTATGTTTTTTCTCCCCTTTTTAAAAAAATTTACAAAAATTCTCATTTTTTGTAAGTTATAAAATTCTTAGTTATGCAGAAGAAAAAAATGTCTACTTTTTGCAAAGTTAGAAAAAATTTTAGTGTTTTGAAACTTCACTAACTACTTACAAAGTAAAACTCGAACAGCTTGGAATTTCTGTCAACTATATTTCTAGAATAAATTTTACTTCGTTGAAAGTATATTTTACTATTTTTTATTACAATTTACTTCGGATGTTATAAAATTTACTCTGGAAATAACGATTTTTAATAGCAAATTTCACTTTTATTAATTTTTTGCTTCTGAAATAGTAAATTTTGTTAAAAAATTAGTAGAAATTACTAGTTATTAGTAAAATTTACTAGTTCAAAAGCAAAAAATTAGTTACAAATTCAAATTTAGAGAATAATAAGTTTTACTTATTTTGGAGGAAATTTTACCAAGTCCAAAGAAAGGTTTACTAATTTTTACTGGAATTTTCTTCGGATATAATAAAATTCATTGGATTTTAAAATAAAAGTAGCGATACAGTAATTTGTTAATTACTATAGAGTAAATTTTACTATACATACTTGTGAGATAAATTTTTCAAATTTTTATAAAGAAATTTTCTTCAGAAATAGTAAAAGCTATTCTAGAAATTATTATATTTTAATAGTAAATTTTACTTATTTTGGAAGAAATTTTTTCAAGTCCGGAAAGTAAATTTTACTAATTTTTACTAAAAATTACTTCGGTTATAGTAAAACTTATAGAATTTTAAAATAAAATTATTGCTACTTAATATCAACTTTTGAAATTAGTAAACTACAGGGATCTTACACTGAAAGAAGAAAATTATTATTATTTCTATAGTAAATTTTACTATATTTAGGAAGAAAATTTCTATATCAGAAGTAGTAAAATTTACTCTGTAAATAATAATTTTTAATAACAAATTATGTACAAAACTGGAAGAAAATTTTAAAAATTTGTTTACAAAAATGAGCTGTGGAAAAAGTGAAATTTCTTTCAAAAATAAGTAAAATTTAATACTCTCTAAACTTTAATTTGTAAAAATGTTTATACTTATTTGAATTAGTGACTGATTTTTTGCTTTTGAATTAGTAAATTTTATTAAAAAATTAGTAGAAATTACTCTTTATTAGTAAAATTTACAAATTCAAAAGCAAAAAATTAATTACTAATTCAAATTCGTAAACATTTTTACTAATTCAAATTTAAAATATATTAAAAAATGTTATATTGTTATTTCTGACTTTTTGCATTTGAATTATAGTAAATTTTACTAATAAATTGGTAAAAATTACTATTTATTAATAAAATTTACCAATTCAAAAACAAGAAGTCAGTCACTAATTTAAAATCAATAAAAATTTTTACTAATTCAAATTTAAAGTATTAAAAATTATTATTTAAAATTTTTCTATTTTGGAAGAAAATTTCTTTATAAAAGAAATTAGAAAAATTTACCTCAGAAGTAGTAAAATTTACTCTGTAAATAATAATTTTTAATAACAAATTGTACTATGCTGAAAGAAAATTTAAAAAATTTGTATTTAAAAATTAACTGTGGAGAAAGTAAAATTTGTTATTAAAAATCGTTATTTCCAGAGTGAATTTTATAACATCCGAAGTAAATTGCAATAAAAGATAGTAAAATATACTTTGAACGTAGTAAAATTTATTCTAGAAATAGTACAAGTTGACAGAAATTCCAAACAGTTTGAGTTTTATAAGAAATTAATAGTAAATTAGCAGAAATTAAAGTAGAAATGAAATAGAATAAACTAAATTATAATAGAAATTAAAATAAAAAATAAAAAATATTAAATGAAAAAATAGAAAATGCAGACTGTTTCGTGACAGTCATAAAAAAAAAACAGTGGAACAAAAAATAGCGATCGATTTGAAATTGTAAAAATACCGTCAGCACGTACCCTTATAACATTGTTGTAAGGCGTTCCGCTGACAGTGAGGGAAGCTGCTGATGAGCAGGTACCACGACAAAAGTAAGCGTGATACCCACTGGGATGAAGAATCCAATCACTCCATCCAATATCTTCAAAACTAATGTACAGTTCATCCCTGCAACATTCTTTCATTTCCGGTAGACAATTCGTGTTCCTTTTTGGTCTATTTTTCTGTGGTAGAGGTGATGTATGGATGACGAGAAAGGGTTTCAGAGTCTGTTCAATGGAAACGGGAGCTACATTTCTCTCCATTTCGCACGTACTACATTCTATTTGAATTGCATGATTCAACCGCTTTCTTTCCACCCATTTCCTCACTATGAAACTGAGGTCAGTTTTCACCCAGCCCTCTGAAAATAAAAATAATAATTATCACTCATATAAATGTGATTAAATTTTTTATATTTTAATCATTTCGTTCGATAGTCACATACTTCATTTCGATTTACTGTCTGAATTAGAAACATAATTCGTCGGAGTTCACAAACTTTACAATTAACTTTTCAAAAATATTTAATTATTTTTCTATACTCAAATTTTTGTCTGTCAAAAATTAAATTAATAGAGAAAATAGGTAAATCGAATAAATTAAGAGAGGAAAATTTGTATACAAAAAAAAATTATTTAAAAATACATTTTTGTCTAATTTTCAAAATATTTCTGTTTTATTTTTAGACATTTAATTCGCTATTTTATTTATCATTATATAATAGAATCTTTTGAAATTTGTTTCATATAGGATATAAAAATACAAGAGAATTATAAATAAAAAACTTTTATGCAGAACAAAATTCGAACTTCAGTGGTTTTGTTATTATTAATAGATTTTTCATTGTTTTCCAGATTGAAAGCGGAATTTTTTATGATGCAGAGAAAAGCGGAATTCTTCGGCGAGTTTCGAAAAGAATTGCCTCGGAAAATTACAATGGTAAGTCCAATTTTTTTATTTTTAATCAAGAAATTTGTATTATCTAAATTATTTCCATGCTTTTTTATTAAATTTTCATAACTGTCAATCTAACCTTTTTTCTGTCCAACTCAATTTAAAAATTAAAATTCTAAGTTAAATTCAAAAAATTTTATAAAATAATTCTCAAAAATGAATTCTATGGATATTAAACATCATTTTTACAAATTATGAGATTTTTTAAAAAATAGTCCGCAACGGCTTCAGATGAAATATAATGGACTGATCCAATCTTTTTTCGTCAATAATTGAATATTTGATTTTAATAAGAGAAAGAAAAACATTTTATGTAAAAATATATAAAGATCTATAAATATATAAATATTTATTTAGATATATAGGATTTAAATGTACTTTGTATTTTGAAATTTAGTTTTTCAACAAAATGAAGTTGGAAATTTGGAACTATTTTGAATGTTTCGTTAAAGGGATAAAGCAGAGAGATATATATATATATATAGAGAGAGACAGAAATGATGAAAAGAGGCTTATGTGATTTGAACGTTTGAATAGAAACACGCCTATCTCATTAGGTAAATCGTGCAAATCACAACTGACATTCGCTGTGATTCGCAACTGAGGGTAATTCATTAGTGAGATTGAAACCAGGGCGGCGCAAACAGAGGTTCGACTTTTAAAGAATGAACAACATAATTCAGAATATATGCTCAGGGTACATCGTTATCAGCGGACTATGTTCCGTGCATGATTCATTATACATTTGAGATCAACTAAGTTGTTCACCTATAAAGAAAAATTTCTTTATCCCGAGTCAGAGACTTTTATTGATTTCTCATTAATTTTTCAAAGAATAATTTCTTTCATCCACTCGAATAAAATTCTTTTCTTCATTTTTCAAAGAAAAATTTCTTTATCCTGTTACTCGAAATTAAACTTTGATTAATTTTTCATTACATTTTCAAAGAAAAATTTCTTAATTCACTAGAATCGAATTTCTTTTCTTCATTTTTCAAAGAAAAATCTCTTTTTTACTCGAATGAAATTTTGTTAATTTAAAAAAAAATTCTTTCTTCCACTAGAATTAAATTCTTTTTTTTTAACTTTTCAAATAAAAGTTTCTTTATCCTGCTTGAATCAAATTTCGTTTCTTAATTTTTCAAAGAAAAATTTCTTTATCCTGTACTCTAATCGAATTTTATTTCTTAATTTTTCAAAAAGAAAAATCTCTACTTTACTTCATTTCTTAATTTCCGAAAGAAAAATTTCTTTTCTACTCGAATTAAATTATTTTTTTGTTTTTCATTAATCTTCCTATTTATTAATTAATTTTTCATTAATATTTCAAAGAAAAAATTCTTTCTTCTATTCGAATTAAATTCTTTTCTTAATTTTTCAAGACAAAAATTTCTTAATCGACTCGAATCATTAATTCTTTTATTAATTTTTTAAAGAAAAATCTCTATTTTAAATTTTACTTTCAATTTATTTTTTTATATTTGATTTATGAGTGAATGAAATATTTTTTTACTTTCCATTAATTTTTCAAAGAAAAATTTCTTTATCCTACTGAATTTTAATTCTTTTATTATTTTTTTATTTTTACACGAGAGTCTTTAATATAATAAAAGTATTACCTAGCTTTGTTATTTCCAGTTTATCAACATTCTCTTAAAAAAAACCGATATTATTTGATCCGTTATTTATTATTTTTTCGTTTAAAATGTATTTTCTTAACAGAGTTGCCACAGGACAGAAAAATGAGGAAATTTATATAGGAAAAATTCAAAGAATTTTATCAAGAGTACTGGAACAAGTATAAAATTTCTGGAATTTATAAAAGAATTCCCATTTTTAGTATCTATCAAGTTTTGAAAATATTATAAATATTTAATTTTCAGTGAATTATTTTGTTCACCTTATAAAGTTTGTAAAATGAAATTTAAAATATTAATTCATATAAATGAATTTTATTACAAAATCTTAAATATTTTGTATTTCTGACAATTAATTGGACTTTAAAGAATATGAAATAGAATTTAATTGGAATAATTTAATCCTTTGGGAAACTTTCATTGTTATTAATGTCACTAGAGTTTTTCTTTGGAAGAATTCAATTATTTACAACAATATTAGAATTTTTCACAGGAATGCAATTATTTTCAAATATTTTAATAAAATTGTTCGAAAGCATTTAATTATTTTAAATAAAATTTTAATTAATTTTTTTTGAAATAATTCAACTTTTAGATTTTAATAAAATTCTTCCCAAGAATTCAATTATTTACCTAAATAATTCTTCGAAAGAATTCAATTATGTCGATAAATACAAAATTATTTCCGAAAATTCAATTATTTTGAGGCATTTTAATAAAATTCTTTGCCAAATTCAATTTTTTTCATAAATAACAATATTTTTCACAAGAGTTCAATTATCTTTAATAGTAATAAATTTCTTCTTGGAAATTCAATTATTTAAAAAAATTCTTATAAAATCGTTCGCAAGAATTCAATTATTGTCAAAAATTTTAATTCAATTCTTTGTAAAATTAAACTATTCTTAAAAAATTTTCGCAATTCAATGATTTTTAATATCTACTATTTTCATAAAATTTCTAAACGGAATTCAATTATTTAAAAATTTTTTAGTAAAACCTTCGTAAGAATTCAATTCTTTTCATGAATAAGAAAAATTTCTCAGAAATTAAATAATTTATATTAAAATTAGCATAAAATTATAGTCGAAAGAAATCATTTATTTAAAAATTTTTATAAAATTCTTTGCTAGAATTAAATTTTTTTTATAAACAATAAAATTCGTTGCAGGAATTCAATTTATTAGAAGTATAAGAAAGAAGTAAATATTTTTGATGAATATTAGGAAATTTTTTGGTCATCAAGTTTAATTTTTCGATAGTTACTTTTTTACTACTTTTTTTAGTTTGAAAGCTTTTTTTTGCTATTTTTTAAAAATTAATTATCGAGTGCGAAGTCTTGTAATATGATCCGTAATTTTTAATTTTTTGTCCGTAAAGTCCGTATTTTGTAATACTTTCATTGGTTCGAGTTTCCCTAAGAAAGGATTTTAAGGTTCTTATTTTTCTTTACCTTCAATACTAGTTTCCAAAATGGCCATTATGGTGTTTTTCTCGAAACTACCGCCATGATCCCAATGGTCCAATTCAGAAAGTACGAAAGTTTGATTAAAGTTGTCGTTAGCATCCTGTTCTTTATAAAACCATAGTTCAGCTGACGTGACACTGACGAATTGCATTTCATTTGGTAAATAAAAGCTAAAACAAGCTGCTGGATTGAATCCTGTCACATGATTTGATGTGTGTCGACATTTGATTGAGTCTGCCTCACCTGAAATATTAAGAACAATATTACAAATCAGAATAAAACTTATTTCTTTTTATATATTCGATGATTATTTTATTTATCATTATCAAAAAAAAGTAATAATTTTTCGAAAAAAGTATTAATAAATAATGATTTTTAATTTTTTTTACCAAATAGATGCTACTAAATAATAATTTTTTGAAAAAATAATTACGAAATAATAGTTTTTCTTTTTCTACTTAAAAACTCATATTTAGTTATTATTTTTATTTATATTTAATTAAGCACTGCTTCTCTCGAATATGTACATATTCGTCTAGGCATAGAGAGGTTGGATTATTTCTCATATTCAGAGAGAAATACTTGTCTCGGTTCCTAACGAACTAATTTCCGAGTCACCAAAGTTGCTAAAATATAGGAAATTAAATATAAAATTCAAATAAAGTACTATTGAATTTTATTAAATCATAGAGTTAGTTTTTCAATTGCAATAAATTTAAAAAAAAGAAACGAATAGTAATAAATTTTAAAAAATGATAGTATAGACAAATTGTAAATTTTGATTAAAATGGATCTATCGTATAGTTTTAATGTTAGTTTTCCCCTATCCTAGTTTATGCAATTTCTAAAGTACATTTGATTTCCACGTATGTGAGATGTTTGTAATCTGAAAATGACCTCGAACCATCTGTGAACTTCACGCTCGATTGTTTCTGATTTAGTAAACATTGTAATTAATTTTGTTTAACCTTTATTATTAAAGAATGTCGGTTAATCTTGCAGATTAAGTTAAATTTGAAATTATATATAAAGGAATGTGAAACTATGAAACTAAGTTAATTGAAAAGTGAGCCACTTATTGAAAACAGTAAACAATTCTAATTGATAAGTTGGAAAAATTATTTAATTTGTTATCCTCAAGTAGATAGCTATCATTTTGTAGTTTTGCCATTTTATTTTTGTTGTTATTTTAGTTATTATATTTTTATATGAAACTATTATAATTTATAATAATATAATAACATAATAATAATAATAATAATAATAATAATAATAATAATAATAATAATATAATAATATAATATTAATTATTATTAACAATAATTATTCATTATTTATTTATTTACAACCACTTCTATAAATATATGGGTGATTCTCCAAAAAACCTCATTTTGCATGTAATCAAGATTTTCTAAATAATTATAATCATTTGGGAAAATACCAAGTCATATTTCCCTATTTTATCACTTTTTCTAAATGTTCTGCAAGAAAAAGTTGTAAAATTTTATTGTTTAATACATTTTTAAAATATTTTACCACCTCAAAATCGATTTTCTAACCTGTCATCTAACCCAGTAAAAAAAAACTAATTCAAATGAATTGAAACGAATTAACATTTTTGGTAGGCTCCAATTCGTATTTGTCACAAAGCGGGATTCACTCAAGCTCTTTGTATATTCAATTGAATTTAATTCAATATGTACCAATTTGTCCAAACGAATTCGCATTCGAAAGAAATGGCCAAGAAATGCATTGAATTCGTGCTAACGAATTGAAAAAAATTAAAGGCTCAAAACTTGTCCAGTGAATTGGTACGGATAGAAGGTTCGGAAGTTCAATACAGTTTCACGAATTCAGGAAAATTGCATCATGGCTCCAATTCGTATTTGTCACAAAGCGGGATTCACGAAAGCTCTTTGTGAATTCTTTTTAATTCATTTCAATTAGTTTTCGTTTACTGGGAAGTGCTTTTCATTTTTTCAATAGGTCAAACAATTATTTAAAACATGAAAATTGGTACTTTATTAATTTTTTCTAAAAGTTATGATATTTAAGAATAATTTTCAAAAATATAAATAAAATATGTCGTGTAGTTTTTTTAAATATAGAAAATGAAATTTGTCATGTAGTACCGCGTCATTCCTCTCACTCGTTGAATATTATCCAATATTTTTGCTGTGGGTAGAGATATTGCTTAATTATTGTGATCAATATTTAAATTAACATCTCTAATATTAATTTCTTAAGTTACTTTTTAAAAAATGTCATTATTTTGCGTTAAAAAAATTAAAATTGAGACATAAGCAGAGATTCACAACCTAAAGCGTCATTCCTCTCACCGCTAATAAAAACAATATTAATATATATAAATTGATCGCAAATTTTTTTCACATAAAGTTATCCTTTATAAACATGATAGGGCATTCTAAGCTGGAGGAAAATTATTTGTCAATTAAATAAAATTCAAAAATGTTGAAATCGTCATTCCTCTCACCCGTCATTCCTCTCACTTTTTTGAATAAAAATTAAAAATTGATATGATTGTCGGTTGTTTACAAACTGCCAGTGAAAAGTGAACCTAAAATGTATGAAAAATAATTTTTGACAATTGTTTAAAGAGATTTTTGATAACTGTAAGTATTTCAAAATCTATAAAATTTATAGATAATATTAATAAATTATAATTTTTAAATAATTTTTTGTAAATAGAAAAATATATATAATAAAAAACGCCGGCGCCAAATTTTAACCTCTTAATTTTTTTGTAAATTTTAATTTAAAATATATACTTTAAAAGCTAAAAGTTAGCATGATCATGCTATAGAGGTGGTAGATTTTTGAAAGCTCAATATAATTGACTGCATTAATCCATAAATAATAATTTTTTTTCTTTTCTGTTTGTAACTCACAAAAAGGAGTATTTCGGGAGAATCACCCATATACGACCATTTCAACTTTGAAACTTTATAATTTGCAATTATAAAGTTGTTTTAATGAATAAATAATATTATAAGTTTTGATAATTTTGTTCAATTTTTGGCTGTAGTTTATTTATTTTTGTATTTTGTTTGTTAGAAAAAACGGTAATAGAAAGTTTTATTATTATTATTATTATTATTATTATTATTATTATTATTATTATTATTATTATTATTATTATTATTATATTATTATTATTATTGCTATCATTATCCAATTTCGGGAATTATTTTTCAAAAAAGTTCTTTTTCTTAAAAATCTCATCTTTTTTTCTCAAATTTTTTCCCTAAAAATACTTTCTCACCTTTTCTAAGTTTACATTATTTTATAGTGAAAAGTCGTCCACTGATTCTAATAGTACAAATTTGTATTACTCTCTAAATTTGAATCAGTAAAAATGTTTAATAATTCGAATTAATGACTGACTTTTTGCTTCTGAATTAGTAAATTTTACTAATAAATAGTCATTTTTACTAATTTATTAGTAAAATTTACTAATTCACAAGCAAAAAGTCAGTCACTAATTCAAATTAGTAAACATTTTTACTAATTTTACGTTCAAATTTAGAGAGCAATATTTTAATTTACGAAAGATTTTATGGATAATTATAATAAAAATCGGTAAATTTTTTTATTAATTTTCAATAAAATACCTATTATTTTAGGGATCACAGTTGGTTCCCTTTTTTACCTATTTCCCTTATTTTCCCGCCTTTTTTATACCTGATCCCATTATTTATCCCCTTAAATAAATAAAATCTCCTAAAAAACCTTACATTATGTATAATTGTATATTCCCTCCTTCTCCCCTTTTTAAAAACATTTACAAAAATTCTCATTTTTTGTAAAGTTACAAAATTCTTAGTTATGTAGAAGAAAAGAATTTCTACTTTCTGCAAATTATGGAATAGTTTTTGGAACTTAAAAATCTTTTTATATTATTTTCTCAGTTTTTAATTTTTTAATTTTTTTTATACAAGGCAAAAAATATTAAATAAATTTTACTACTTATAAAATAAAACTCAAACTGTTTGGAATTTCTGTCAAATTGTACTATTTCTAGAAAAAATTTTACTTCGTTGAAAGTATATTTTACTATCTTTTATTGCAATTTACTTCGGATGTTATACAATTCACTCTGGAAATAACAATTTTTAATATCAAATTTTACTTTCTCCACAGTTAATTTTTAAATACAAATTTTTTAAATTTTCTTTCAGCGTAGTACAATTTGTTATTAAAAATTATTATTTACAGAGTAAATTTTACTACTTCTGAGGTAAATTTTTCTAATTTTTATAAAGAAATTTTCTTCCAAAATAAAAAAATTTAAAACAATAATTTTTGATACTTATTTAAATTTGAATTAGTAAAAATTTTTATTGATTTGAATTAGTGACTTTGAATTAGTAAAATTTACTAATTCAAAAAATTAGTAAATTTTACTAATAAATAGTCATTTTTTCTAATTTTTTAAAAGAATTTAGTAATTCAGAAGCAAAAAATTAGTCACTAGTTGAAATTAGTAAATATTTTTACAAATTCAAATTTAGAGAGTAGTAAATTTTACTTATTTTAGAGAAAATTTTACCAAGTCCAAAGTAAAGTTTTTTAAATTTTCTTCCAGCGCAGTAGAATTTGATATTAAAATTTATTATGTAAATTTTATTACTTCTGAGGTAAATTTTTCTAATTTTTATAAAGAAGTTTTCTTCGGAAATAGAAAAATTTACTCTATAAAAATAACTATTTTTAGTACTTTAAATTTGAATTCGTAAAAATATTTACTAATTTGAATTAGTGACTTTTTGCTTTTGAATTAGTCAATTTTACTAATGGATAGTAATTTCTACTAATTTTTTACAGAAATTTAGTAATTTAAAAGCAAAAAATTAGTCACTAATTCAAATTAGTAAACATTTTTACTAATTCGAAATTTAGAGAGTAGTAAATTTTACTCTCTCTCTAAATCTGAATCAGTGAAATTCCACTGAAAACCAGTGAAATTCGACTGAGAATCAGTGACTCTATTCTCGCGATTTGAATCAGTGGGATTTCACTGAAAATCAATTAAAAATAACTGAAATTTCAGTCATTTTCCACTGATTCGCCAATTAAAAAACTACTGAAAATTTCAGTTATTTTTTAATTGGCCAATCAGTGAAAAATAACTGAAATTTCAATCTTTTTTAACTGATCTTCAGTGAAATTTCACTGATTCAAATCGCGAGAATAGAGTCACTGATTCTCAGTCAAATTATACTGATTCAGTTTTAGAGAGCTTATTTTGGAGGAAATTTTACCAAGTCCAAAGTAAAGTTTACTAATTTTTACTGAAATTTACTTTGGATATAGTAAAATTCGTAGAATTTAAAAATAAAAGTAACATTACAATAATTTGTTACTTAATTTGAAAAATTCCTTTTTTTTTTAATCTGAATCCTCTTTTAAAAAAATTAAATCCGATTTTTTACCTAATATTAGATGAAAAAATCCCTGTGATCCCTGTTACTGTTTCATTTCATAGTTTCAATTTCTTTTGTGAAAGATTTAGTCGATAATTATACTGAAAGTCAGTTGAAGTTTTGACTATTAACACAGATTTTCTAAAGATATCAAATTAAGACTTTTTTTAATTAACTATTGTATATAGTTGAACAGCTTGTCGTCTGTTGACTGGCAACTTAAAGCAAACTTTTTCGAAAAACAACAATATCTAGTTGCCTTGTTGAAGTCTAATGATGTACATGGAAGTGTATCGAGTTTCAAACTCATTCCATTTAGTGGTATTCTACACACTAAACTTGAGTTTGTTCACTATGTAATTCAAAACTTAAGACTAAGTCTTGTAGTTACCTTCCATTATTGAACGCAATTTTTTTATGTGTACATAAAATATTTGTATATTAGATCACGTTCAAATCAATCTATTATACTTGTAAATTTCCAAACAGTTGAAAATTTCGGAATATTGTTGAAAATCCGATATTTAATAGTGTGATTGAAAATTAAAGATTAATAACTTTTCTGATAGTGAAACAACTTGTAAAGAAAGTGTTTAAAGGGAAAGAAAGAAAAGAAAAATAAATGAAAAAGAATGCAAAGAAATTTCATTTTTTTATAGAAATTTATTTATAGAATTATTTTATAGTAAAATTTGAGTCAAATGTTTATTTGGAGAACATTTATGACTATTAGGTACAAATTATACCAGTTGAATAAATTTATCTACAAGTAAAGTCAATGCTATAAACAATAGCGTAGTCGTATAAAATTAATAATTTTTGTTTGTAAACTGCATTTATTTAATAGGTTCGTTAGTAAAGTTTCTAATAATAATTACTTTCTGCGACCTTCGACTTGGTATCAGCTATAAGATGACAAATCTCGCTTTACATCTCAAATTCTAAATTATTCTGATTAATTATTAACATAAGTGTTAACACTAATTATATTAGTACCGAAAATAATGAGAAAAAAATTGTTAAATTTTAATAAGTATTGATTTAATGAAAATGATCATTTCCGAATCATCAATAATTATATTTATAATAATTTCGAGACTTTTATTTTACTTTCTCTATTTTCATAAGCGATTTACTTTTCTCTTTTGTATTCAGATGGTTTGTTTGAATTTTAAAAATGAGAGATTTAGTATTTTATTCTAGACAAATTCAATAGAAATTCGATAGAGATATCTTGAAATTCTATAATATGTAGAATATTCCATTGAAATTTTGAGGAAATAATTTTACAGAATTGATAATAATCACCCCTTGAAACTTTCTTTCGTGCATACGTTCCTGATATTTATGAATTTTTTAATCAATGAATAATAAAAAATAAATTTCTTTATATCAATGTAAAAAATTGCTTCACGCGAATGTTGTGAATGTTCTGAGAGAATAGTTTCACAATCGAAGAAAATTTCTTTAAATTCTTTTGGTTTTCTGTATAAATAATTTTTATAGAAAATATAAAAAAACCTGAAATTGTAATAAAATAACGAAGTTCACTTTGGTTTTTATGGAATCATGAAATTTTCAGATAATAGAATTTTTTTCTTTAAATTTTTACAAATTGTACAAACAATGAGTAATGGAATTAAAATTTTTGTTCAATGTTCTTGTTAGTTTGACTAAAACTTTTGAATGTCGAAATGAACGACTTTTTTTTTGCTTAAATATTTTCTAAAAATTACTGTGATGCATTAAAAAATAACGTGGAAATTTAATATTTTCTTTATTAGGAATTTGAAATTAATTTTCCTTTTTGTAAAAAATAATATATTTTTTATAATATACAAATTAGAAATAGTGATTCTAAAAAAAATTAGAACGTTTAAATGAACAAAATAATTTTTCAATGTAAATATTTTCCAAAATTACTGATTGCAAATAAAAGTTGAAAATGTAAATTAAACATTTTTAAACTCTTCATGATTTTTTAAATTGATAAAAAATTTGAATCTTGTTAGTAAATTGTTTATAGTTTTAATAGTAACCAACTAATAAATAACTAAATAATATTTAAATAATTTTTAAATTCGAATTAGCAGTTTTTAATTAATTAAAAAGTGCGGATTTGTTTAATTTTTTAAATAATAAGGATTTTAATAATTTTTAGTAAAAAGCTACTAATTTTATAGTAAAATATTAGTAGATTTTTTTAGAAAAAGAATTAGTACTTTTTTACCATAAAATTAGTAGGTTTTTCTATCTCAAAATTGGTAATTTTTCTACCATAAATTTAGTAACTTTTTACTAAGAATAAAATTCTTCTTAATTAATTTTTTTAATTTGTAGTATTTTTAATTAGTATTTTTTAACTAGTAGAAAACTATGAATTCAAATTTAGAAAGTAAATGTTTAGTACCTAATTTATGTTACTCTTTAAATTTTACGCAGTTCAAGTTTTCAATGAGTTTTAATTTTTTAATGTGTTATGAAGCTCAAATCATTTTATAATTTCACTTGGAAATCACGAAGAATTCACGAAATTTCGCCAGGAGAAATTAGTAGAAACCCTGTTTTTGATTTTCTTATTCAAACATTTTTTTTCATGGAAAGAAAAGCGAAATGGAATAAATAAATGTGCAGTTGAAGAAATATTTCTTTGTTTGAAAAAATCTCATTTGAACTAAGTAGGATGTTGTGAAAGATTTACAAAATCGTGTTTTTCTTGTTGGTCACATCATTTAACTACAATAATAACAACAATTATTGTGTAATAACTATTATAATAATACAAATTATTTTTTTGGTTAACAATTAAAAATACCTATTAATAAATTAAGTAGAATTGTGTTTGCTCTCTAAAGCTAAATTAGTGGAAAGATTACTAAGCAAATGACGAAAAGTCGTCCACGAAATAATTTAGTATAGTAATTTTAGTAGCAATTGATGAAATTCTTACTAATTGTTAGTAAAATTTTACTAATAATTAGTGGAACAGTTTTATTTAAAGTCGATAGAGTAGTTTGACTACTTTATTTAGTGAATTTACTAACAATTAGTAAATATTAGTAAATTAGTGAATATTCACTAAAGATTAGTATATTTATTAAATATTAGTAAAATTCTACTAAACTTCTACTAAACTTCTACTAAACTTCTACTAAAATTTTACTACTCAAAAAGGGAAAAGTCTGTAAAAATTACTACACTGAAAAAAAGTTGATTTTTTATAATCGATTAATTGTCTATTATCGAATAAATATTTACTTGAATCAAATCATTTTTATTTAAATCAATTCAATGGTGTTTGAACCAATAATTTCAGTTTTTGAAGCAAATATGAAGTGAATTATTTAATTGACTCAAATAACAATAATTAGATACAAGTCAATATTTAATTATTGATAATTCGATAATAGTCAAGTAGTCGGTTATTTGAATCAAATAAATTTCTTTTTCAGTATCACAATTAGTTTAATTGTACTATTTGTTAGTAGAATTCAACTAATTTAGTTTTAGAGAATAGAATTATTTTAGAGTTGAGTCAAATGTTGAATTTATTACTTTTTTAGTCAGTCTGGCCCTGATTGTGTTACTGATTTTACTATTTTTGATGTTACAATAAGCAGTTAAATATTAGTATTTAGTAGTTCAATTTACTTGAAGACGTATAGTTGAAATCCAAAAATAACTACAAAATCTTATTTCTCCAACTTAATTTTTGTTATTTTAACTATACTCTTTGGTAGTCAGTACAATTTTTTAAATTCAGTTGAGGACCTATTGGATTATTTAGAGTAGTTGAAAAGTAGTCAGATCTACTAGGAATTCTACTGAGTGATATTGAAAAATTATTGAGATTTTACTAGCATGAAGTCATATCGCACTATAAGCAAAATCGGGAAAAGTTGTCGATTTAAAATTTAAATGGACTAACCATTACTTTTTTAATTTGTATAGCAGTGGTGAAATTTTATTATTTGTTAATAGAATTTTACGAATTCAGATTTAAAGAGTGAAATAAAAGAGAGTTTAGATAGTTAAATAAAAATAAAAGTTGTTTTGTTGAGTACCTGGGAGAGAGGGGTGGAAGTAGGCAAAATGAAAATTAACTTTAATAAAAAAAAAGTAACGGAAATGAAGATTTATAAATATTACCTTCATTCGGAAAGACGACAACTTGATCAGTTTTTCCATAGAAGCTCTCTGCCGGTTTTTCTGGTTCAAGTGGCTCGCCAGGTCGAAGTTCAAGCACGTGTCCGTTTATCAGTGGCTTTGGCAAGGTCGACAGGGACAGCGACACTTCTGGCGGTTTCGATAGACGCAACTTCTTAAGAATCTGTTGCTTCACATATTCAACTCTTAACTCTGTGAGAATTGGATCATATTCAATGATGGAAATTTTATTTTGCGCACAACCTGAGCATTCACTGTTATCTGAATTTGAATCTGGATAAAATGTTGACCAGACATTTTTTAATGGATTACTCATCGCTGGCCATCCTCCATTAATGCATCTGGCCAGACCAATGAGAATAATCACAAGCGTCAGGTAACGCTGCATTTTTTTCTCCTAATGGCAGACAGCCCTATTGTCCGACTCTTATTATCAGCCAGTTCGGCGAATTATTAGGTGACGCTGCGTTCAAATTTGAATGACGATGTTACTCCACCACGAAATTTGATGATTTTTCTTGATCCACTCATTCGATTATTGATGACAACTTGTTTTGAAAGAAGTTTAGTATATGATTGTAATTCATCTGGGAAATCGCAATTGAGATCTTTGATCTTTCCTGTTGCTCTCGATTCGGTGTTATCTTGTATTTTGTTTTCCTCTTGGTTTAATATTAAGATTTCTTTAATTTTGAGATGATTTTTGTTTATTTTGTATTTTGCTTTCTGCTGGCGATTGTTGAGGGAGATATTTCGATGAAATGATGAATTGATTTTTGACTTTGGGGGAAAAAACTGGTTGTCACTAACGCGAACGTTGATGAAGACTGGAGGTGATGTGTGGCGATGGACCAGTGATGTATACTGGGCTCGAGTAACCTTTGCCCCGGAGCCGGGGCCAGCGCGGATTGGACGACGAACATTCATATCAGTAACAGAAGCACGCACTATGAACATGCTGCCGGGTGGTTAACCGTGTTGATTTTCATAGTTGGGCGATTCTTACACTCCACTTCACCAGGTTAAAATCTTCAGACTGTTAGTAATAGAGGCATTCCAAGGGCTGATGAAATTTTTCTTTTTCTTTTTGTAATATCCGCTTAGTCTTGAGTGATGCGTAAGAGTACGACATTATCTTACAATGATAGAACATTTATCGGCTGATTTCTTTTTAATTATGTAAGTGATTAGCATAAAGTATACCGACACAAGAATTATACTGTTTCATCAATCATTCATTTAGTGTGACTGCTGAAAACTTCTTAACTCTTCATTATGAACTATATTCTTTGACTATAGAGAATATTTTCTTTCCTTATTAAGAAAATGGGTAAATAGGCAAAAATTTATTCTATAGAATAAGAAAAAAATATACTCAATGAAACTTGTGAAAAAGTTAGGGCTAATTTTATTGAACTCTGTGTCTCTAGGTTGAAGGTAGTGGATGGAAATGTTCAGAAATGAAATTCAGAACAAGGCCATATTTATATTCCCAATATTAAGAGCATTTCATCCTGGAAGAAGATGATTGCTGATTTTATTATTTGGTATTTTAAGGCTAAATTGTCAGTTGCATAACAATTATCTGTGTAATATTTTTTTCTTCATTAGATTTTGCATGTCTTTTGTCACGTAGACTAAAATGTTCTTTGAACTTTTGTTGGTGGAGGAGAGAAGAAAAAACTTTTGCTGTGTTTATTTTGTAAATTAGTTTAAATCGATATTTTGTTAATCTATAATTATTAATTGTCAGTTGCAACATGTGCTTATCAAAAATGATAAATTGATGTTCAGGGGGGATGGTGTTAGTTGAAAAATTATTATTTTCAGAGAGATTCGCAATTTTAGTATTATTTTTTGGTACATCAGAATTTTGCTATATTCCTCTAGAGGGTATTTCTTATCAGTGAGGATTATCTTTCGTTGGTCTCTCGCGAATTGGAGAGTACAACGCCACTCGAACTGTTTTCCTCCTCCTGATCTATATCTTATCCACGTCCTTTATTCGAGGATCCATCTTTTCCATTTTTCAAAACAAACATACAAGAAATGAAATAGCATTGTTTACCTTCAGTTTTCTGTTTTGCAAATTTTTCTAATTTTGTAAAATTTTAGTAATGTAATTTTAGCAAAAATCGATTCTTGAAAATTGATAATCAAAGTGATAAAAGTAATTGGGTAATTGTTGAAATGTTTGGTAATTTGTTTTCACTTTTTTTTTTTTTTTTTTTTTTTTTGACGATGAAAGCAAATATCCTTCCGAACTGTAATTCCGTTCGAACGATCACGACCAATGAATGACAATTACTGTTTGTTAGAGACGGCATGTCTGGCACGTGAACTCGATCTCTCTTTATTAATTTGTCAAAGTAACAATCCGTTAATGCTTTCGATTGCTGAACTAAATTATGACTTTCTTCAGGTCAATGAAATCTTAAAATTATTTATCACGCGTTAAATATTAAATATCACGCATCAAATGCTACAGCATTACATAAATTTTATGATCCACAATTTTAATTTGTAGAAGAAGTAAATAAATTTCGTTCGGTTGAGCATTCAGAACTTTGGGGACATTTCAATTATCATTAGAAATTGTTTTTTTAAATTTATAATTTTAGGGAAAAATTACATTTTCGTGGCAACTCTGATTTTCTTTACTTAACCACTTCACTGGCAGGGCGTTCCAAATGGCGTTCCACGCGCCCAGGCCCAGACTGGCAAAAACACCGAAATGGCGTTCCTAATAAAACTTTATTTTTTAAGAGTGTACACTACTTTTAACTTGTACAAAGCAATATTTCTATAGTTTAGACATCAGGGAACAATATTATCACAATAAAAGTTTCAGTTTTTGAGATTTTCAATGTTTCTTTGAACGTTGAAATACTCAATTTTTACCACTTTTCAACAAATGGCGTTCCACTTTTTTTCAATTTTTACGCAGTAAAACTCATATTTTTTATTTTAAAAAAATGTATTTATATACAATATTATATTATAATAATAATAATGTAATAAATAAAAAATAAATATAAATAACACTGGGTTACAAAAAAATGGTCATGTCGTGTTTATTTAAAATTTACTGTGTTTATTGAAAGTTTAGGTGTCACTGAATAAGAATATATCAGAGAAACTTTTTTTCATTCGGTCATTCCCTTAAAAAACGAGTTTAAAGTGTAAAAAACCGTATTTTTAGCACTTTTTGAGGCAGCGTAACAAGAAAACGCAACATGATAAAAATCTCTACAAAATCTTAAATAAAAGCTTAAACCTTCAACTTTAAGGCTCAGAACTGAAAAGTACTTAAATAAGCACTGAAAACCTGCAGTCGCTATCTGAAATTATCAAAAAAGCTGGGTTAGGTAGCACTTGGTAAAAATCGATTTCCCCAACCGGATTCGGTTGCATATTGTTACTTGAGGTTTTTTGAGGTTTCTAATGACGAATTGAAACTTAGATTTAAAAATTTTAAAATGGCGGACTCAATTTTTTAAAATTATCAACGCAAATTTTGAAAAATTGAGTGAATTCATTATTTTTAGTCCGCCATTTTAAAATTTTTAAATCTAAGTTCCAATTCGTCATTAGAAACCTTAAAAAACCTCAAGTAACAAGTTGCAACCGAATCCGGTTAGGGAAATCGATTTTTACCAATTGCTTCCTGTTCTAGCTTTTTTTGACAATTTCAGGTAGCGACTGCTTGATTAAGGAGGTTTTCAATGATTATTTAAGTACTTTTCAGTTGTGAGCCTTAAAGTTGAAGGTTTAGTCTTTTATTTAAGATTTTGTAGAGATTTTTATCATGTTGCGTTTTCTTGTTACGCTGCCTCAAAAAGTGCTAAAAATACGGCTTTTGAGACTTTAAACTCGTTTTTTAAGGGAATGACCGAATGAAAAAATGTTTTTCTGGTATATTCTTATTCAGTGACACCTAAACTTTCAATAAACACAGGAAACTTTGAATAAACACGATATGACCATTTTTTTGTAACCCAGTGTAATTGATAAATAAAATATAATAATTATTAATAATAATAATTACTATTATTGTTATAATTATTGCATTATATTATTATATTATTGTATATAAATACATTTTTTAAAATAAAAAATATGAGTTTTACTGCCTAAAAATTGAAAGAAAGTGGAACGCCATTTGTTTAAAAGTGGTAAAAATGGAGTATTTCAACGTTCGAAGAAACATTGCAAATCTCAAAAACTGAAACTTTTATTGTAATAATATTGTTCCCTGGTGTCTAAACTATAGAAATATTGCTTTGTACAAGTTAAAAGTAGTGTACACTCTTAAAAAATAAAGTTATATTAGGAACGCCATTTCGGTGTTTTTGCCAGTCTGGGCCTCGGCGCGTGGAACGCCATTTAGAACGCCCTGCCAGTGAAGTGGTTAATTAACCCTCTGCTGTTGTTAACAAATCGTGGAGACTAGAGGTAGAGGCTTTAATATTTTTCACTGTGGAATTATTCTGATATCTCAAAAGATGTTAGTTAATAATTATTTTTAATTTTTCTGAAATTGATAAATTTCGCATAGTAGGACGCGGATGAAAGAAATGACAAAGGTCAAAATTTCGTTGAAATATTTTGTATCGTAAAGTTTGTTTTCCTCCTTTGTTTTATACTAACAAGGGTAATTCTTATAAGCACACTTGCAATATATGCAAGATGTATTTAATTACATATGATGCAAAAATATTTTCTTGATATCGTGTATCACTATCGAAGAAAATAGTAGAATTAATTAAATGATAATTAAAGAGAGACTTAAACATTGTTAAATGTAATGTTATTGACTTAATTAGTGTTCAATTGTTTACATTTAAACATAATTATCTTAAAATAAATTTTGATTAACGGCAAAATAGAATAATTGTATGGACATAAAGTGAATATAATGCATTGTTTGCTTATTTTATTGTTTTGAGCACATGTATAAAGATTTATATATACATAAAATATTGTTTTGAAAACAATTTTTCTCTTCTGTTTTCGAAAATGTGGTTTCTTGATTCCTCCTGCATTATTACCTTTCGATGTTTTATTTTTTTTTCTTCAAACCTTGCACACCTTTTGCTTCGATAAACATAAATCGGGAAAATATAAGAATGTCGTAAAGTTTTTAGTACGTGCACGTTGTGCATCAATTTCTTTTCGATTTTTTAGCAACGGGTGGAGTTCCAAATGTTTTTTTGTTGACCTTCTATTTTTCTCAGTTTAAGGAGTTGGGGACGGTCAATGGTATGAAAAAAGGAGAATATTACATTATTTTTTAGTTTTTTCATTAAATTCATTTTATAGTGCATTTACATCGAGTTTTTAATAATTGCCACCATATTGGATCTTCCATTTTGAATTATATAATTTATCACTAGCGTGTGTGATAGATAGCGAATTCCTTCTTTCAGAATTGATTTGAATTTCTATTTTCTTATATGTATCCGCGCACATATGTGTGCATGGCGTTAAATTTTCTTCTTTGCAACTATATATAGGGGGGAAAGTCTTTGAACGCAATTGGGAAAACATCGATATAAGATTGAATAATAAAAGTTGAAATTTTAAAAGTATTCCTCGAGTTTAAGCTCGCTTGCAATGAAAGTTTTCTGGGTGAGTTTCAAGTCTGCAAGAAACTTCATTTTCGCTTGCAAAATTGTAGTTCAAAATTATCCCAGCAACTACTGCGACTTTTAATTATGAATAATGATGCAGCAATAGCCGTCGGTGAAATATAATCGCGAAACCACATTACTGTAAAGTTTAATGCATCTCGTTAAAGCAGAACCTTTAGGAAAAGCAAAAGCAGGCG